CACGAGGGGGAGGAGGAGGGGGGTGGGGAGGGCAGTGTTGCGTCTGGCTCAGAGCTAATGAGGCGCATTGCGTCAGTGGCGCACGCAGAGCAGGCTAGAAATGCGCTAGGCGGATGAAATAGAGGCGCACTGTGGGGAGAGAGGAAAAAAGTTGTGAACAGGAGAGGAGAGGCAGGACGACTCTGACGGAGCCCTGCAGTCTCACTTTTTATGCCTCGAAAACTCTTTCCCTGCCATTTTTTTCCCCTCCTCAGCTCCGCAACACTGGTTTTTTACGCTTCGGAGGGAGACTTTCTACCTTTTTCTTTCTTTCTTCTTTTTTTTTAACATAAGCAAAAGCCCTCAGCACCATGGAGCTGCTATGCCTCGAAATGGACACCAACATCCGAGCTCGTCCCGATCCGAACCTTCTGTTTGATGACAGAGTCCTGCAGAGCCTGTTGACGATAGAGGAGAGGTTTCTGCCTCAGTATTCTTATTTCAAAGGGGTCCAGAAAGACATTCAGCCGTTTATGAGGAGGATGGTCGCGTCCTGGATGTTAGAGGTAAAAAAAAGAAGAAAAAAAAAAACCCGAAGCGAGGAGAGCCAAACCTGCTCGCGTTATTAAAACCTCTCGTCTTGCTCCAACCTACAAAACTATCTTTGCACTTTTTGAATATAAGGCACTCAGTCTGTTTCCTTTTTTTCCTGCTTCTAATCCTCCAAACGTGTCGCTGCGTTTTTACTTTCCATTTCTTGAAAGTCCGCTCGGGAGGACTCGTCGCTTCTTTCGGCTCCAACATCTATGACACCCCCCCGGGATTTTCTCCCGGGTGCCTCGTGCGCCTTGTGCACGAGGTCCTTGATGATTTCTGTTCAATGTTGTTATTTTAGATAGCGTGAATATTTCCATGCACACGTATGCACTCCCCAATGCAACGCTGGCTCGCCGCTGCCCATCGCCATGTTGGTTTTGACGAAGGAGCGCTCGTTGCTTTCTGCGGGGATTTTGGGGCTCAGAAACGCGATAACAGCGTCTGAGTCCCGTCGGGAATGACAGCCGAGGGTCTCAGGTGTCCGCAGAATGTCGAACCGAGCTCGGAAAGTGTTGCAAACATTTTCGGTATGAATTAGAAAAGTCGCAAGGGGCGAGGGCCTGAGCTGTGCTTCAGGTCTTCCTCCCGACGCGGTGACTCACTCCGGATTTATGCTCATTTTTTGTAACTCTGGTAAATATTTGTAAACAAGACCCACATGTAAACAATCCCGAGCCCCTGTGCTTTTTTTCAATGTAAATATTGTCAGAATCCGACGCTCGGGGGATTTTTAATTAATTTTTGAAATTCTTATATCGGGTCGGCGATGACGCACCTCGGAGCGATCAGCTGCCACTCGCCTGTAATTTTGACATTTTTCTCCCATTTAGCCTTCACCGATTCGGGTTGGAATTGTCGGTTCTGATGTAGAAGACGTTCCTGAACATTATCATGTGAAGAAAGCAAGGCTGCGTAATTTATTTATATTTTTAAATATTTTATGAAAATATGACGACGGAAGAAAAAAAGCGTGTTTCCGTGTGCTGCGCTGTAGGGGAGGGTTTTTTTTTTTTTTTTTTTAACTCGACTGACTGCGACTTGAATTCATTTCTTGGTGAATGAATTGCAGGAATGTAGCTCTGTTGACAGCATATGTGTTTGAGACGTTTTTGTTCTCATTCGTTTTAAAGAAATTGATTTAAAATTAATGTTTGATGTCGCAACCGGTTTGGGTTGGGCCAGATTCTTGGCCGAGCCCCAACTATGTGTGTCACCGAAATTATATGTGCTCCTTATGTGATCAAGTCTTTTGTTTCGTTGCACCATTTAAAAAAATAATAATAAAGTTTGCTATACGTCTTAAAGGTGCTTGGAAATCAACAAGTCACGTGACCGAGGCGCTGCAAGCCCTCATCACTGCTGCTTTGTGTGTCTTCTCTTCAGGTTTGTGAGGAGCAGAAGTGCGAGGAAGAAGTTTTTCCCCTGGCCATGAACTACTTGGACAGATTTTTAGCAGTGGTGCCCATCAAGAAGTGCAACCTGCAGCTGCTGGGAGCAGTCTGCATGTTTCTTGCATCCAAACTGAAAGAGACTCGTCCATTAACTGCAGAGAAGCTCTGCATCTACACAGATAACTCCATTAGACCACAAGAGCTGCTGGTGAGCAACAGTTGGTTCAGCATAATCTGTCAGAGATCATGCTGTCATCATCAGCTGCTCAAAGTCTGAATGTATCACTTGTTTGGTATATTTTACATGCATTCAATTCGTTTTAATCATCACATCTGACAAATTAAGCATGAGGGGGGGGGGGGGGGTTCTACTCTTCATCTTTATCAAACAAATGCCCCACACTGAATTGTTCCAAGAGAGCTCCTCTTTTTTTTCTTTTACTGTACACAGACCCTCCTGAGTTTACTGCCCTGCAGGATGTGGAGTGGTCTCCATCGCCATCTAGTGGCAGATATTTGCACAGAGCAATGAGGTCAGCTGAACTGCAGCCAAAGCTCTGACTGTGTTCCTGTCATCCGGGGGGGAGAGAGAGAGAGAAATTTCAAATGCCTTTTACAGTTTAGCTTTCATCCAAAAATAAACCATAGATGCAGCCATTTATAATATTATATAACGCCAAGTGATTTTGGGATTTTCACACAAATTTGCAGCGCAGCATGTAAGGGGAAAAGCAAAATCTGTTCATATAACCTTGTAGATTTTTTTTGGGTGGGGGGGGGTGTTTAGGTGTGAGAAAAAATTCTTTATTTGATCCTTCTAAGGCCCAATTATCCAAACTGCCTTTTAAGGGAGCAAAACAAAATTAATTAGCTCAATTTAAAACCTTGATAAGTATTTCCAACCAACTTTGTGGTGCTACATAAACATTCCTGGGTAAACTCCAGCCAATCCCACCCATGTTGTGAAAGAGGCATTCTGATTCAGACAAGGCTGATGGTTACAGGGCTGCTTTTCTGCCCTCTGAGCTGATTGCTGCAGAGTATTTAAGATCCTGACGAGCTGCTGTCGGTTTCTGCTAACTTACTGGAATGATACTTGTTTTTATGTGCTCTCAGTTTTTTCTAATCAAGTTCTCCTCAAGCAATTATTTTAAACGAGGAAAAACAGTAGGAAATTGTACATTTTATTTAAAAAAATCAATTCGGTCTTTGTGTTGAGACGGAAGACAACGCTCTCAGTCCTTGAACTGCTGAGGCCTCGTCTCTGTGTTCCTGTATAAGGCAGCGTTTTGGCTGACATGCAGACACAGGAAACGGAGATCAGCTGCTCGGGGCATGTGATCGCTTTTTGGTGCTCATCTTTGGTAACAATTTCTTGTAAAGTGAACCGCAATTCTACAAAGAAGGTGTGACCAGAGCAAGGCGGAAGCAGAAGGAAGTGGGTGCCTGCCTGCTTGCTGCTCTGTCAGTGTGGGTTTTTTTGGAGACATATATTGTAGCTGCTTTAAATATTGCCTTTTGGTACAGACAGCAGAGGCTTTTTAAGATCAGGAGGCAAAAAAGTCACTATTAATGTTCATACCTTAAGTGTTATGAAAGTATCACATGATATTAGTGTTTTGAATCAACATTTTCATAGTTTTAAAGTTTCTGACAGAGTGGAGAGCAGAATAAATACCATGTTTTTAATAATCAGCAGTGTTGAAACGCCTCATGTTGTGGAGGAGCATCCATTCAAGCCTATAGTTCAGAATGAAASCAAGACTTTTTTCCCCATTAGTCACCTCCTTTAGGAAGTGAAAGCAACCATATATTATGAGAAGAGTTTATACCACTCACTGAGAGTTCAATCTGTCAGTAAAAGATGTGGTTTTGATCATTTACAAAATGAAAAGTTAGAGATGCAGAGGAGTTCTTTTCAACATTTACTGCTGATCTTGCTCAACAAATGCAGGCTTCCTATCCGTTTTCACTCCACACACTCACACATTGGAACCTCTGGTGGGCCTCTTTTTAGGAAAGTCCCCAGATGCCAGACAGACAGATGAGAGGGAGAGAGKTGTGAGGTCACCTGGGTTGGTGGCGCTGTTGGTGTTTCTCAGCTCCAGGCCCTGGCCCGGCACAGGCTGACATAAAAGCAACGATGTTTTATATCGCCACATATTTCCAGTTTAAAGAAACATTAAGTTTTGCAGCTTTGCGCAATGTGTATTGACTTTTTTTCCCCCCTCAGTTATTGTATTTGCTCTTTACTGTCTTTGCTCAACCTCGTCAGGAATGGGAACTGGTGGTTTTGGGGAAGTTGAAGTGGAACTTGGCAGCAGTTACGCCGAACGACTTCATTGAGCACATTGTGAGGAGGCTGCCGCTGCCCGAGGATAAGCTGGCACTTATACGGAAACACGTCCAGACCTTCATCGCCCTCTGTGCCACAGGTAAAAACCTAACCGGTTGGGTCTGAATGAACAGATGTCTGCACGGAATGCAACCTTGGCTCTTTTTCGATGTTGCAGGCGACAACAAGCGATAGTGGCATCAAAATTTTCTCTTGCAGAATATCTTAATCAGCGTTTTGTTTTTGTTTTCTGTTTTTTTTTTTCTTATCAGCGCTCTCAGTAACACACTTTGACCAGTTAGCTGTTACCACTGATGGGACAATAGTTTCACCTTTAGACTCTTAAACTCGAACATCCATCATGTGTCTTCTTCCATCGGTATGCAGGCTTGTTTCAGAAGTGTATCAGTGGCTTCCAGGGCATCCGGTATCACTTCAGAGCAATTTTATTCTGGTTGAAGGGCATTCCCATGTTGCAGGCTATTGAAAAGAGGAATGAACATGGTTAGAGGCAGTCGGCTCATTGTCTCGTTGTCTTTCTGCTCTTGAGGTGAGTTATACCCTCACGATCAAACATTCAGTCAGTAACTGGAGAGACGGCGAACTTTTAACTTGATACGAAACGATTGTGGGGTTGGAAGATGCCGACAGGACCGGGGATGTTTCAGAAAAGTTAAAGGTTTTATTGTTTTTTTCAACCATTCTCAGGCATGTCGTGTTTTCACGTCTTTTTCTAACCGCCCTCCTTTCCTACTTTTTTTTTCTACCCTTACTTCTCAAGCTTCCCCACCCTACAGCTGGAGGACATGATAGCTTTCCCATGTTGAGATCCCCGGTAGGAAACTTTTGCATCACCTCCAGCTTGAAGGCGGCAGAACTGAAAGGCAAAATAACACCTAAACCAGTTTTTTTCTTTCCTAAGTGCYTCGCTAATTTCCCCAAGCTGAATGAAACTGAAGGTACTCGTTGTAATTTGAATTTCCTACAAAAATGCAGAGTGAATTTTAGATTTTTGCTGAATAGGTAAAAAAAAAAAAAAAAGCACTGTGACAGCCCCTCGCACTGACTGCTGGATATGGGCACCAGTGACCCACGTGACCCTGAAAGGAATAAGCGTGTACAGAAAATAGATGGATGGATGGAGGCAAAAAAAGCTGAAACTAGCTTAAAAATAGGCTTTAAAAAAAGTAGCTGAAATAGCACAAAGAAACAGAAAGAGGCCATGTTTTCTGCGTTTAGCAGTAAAAAGCTGAAATTATCACAAAACAGTGACATTTGCTGAAAATAGCTCAAATTGGCCAGAAAGTAGCTAAAAACACATAAAACAGCTGAAATTACCAGAAAGCAGCTAAAAGAAGCACATAAGATATAATTAGCACAAGAATAGCAGAAAAGGTTGAGAGCTAAAGCCAGCCGAACAGAAGCCTAAAGAAGATAAAATTAGAACAAAGGATTWAAAAAGTCAAACCAGAACAAAAGGTAAAAAATGCAATAAAAGTTTAGAAACATTGTGGGTGTTAAGGGTGRTGAAGACAGCTCCGTTCATTTTCAATGAGGAAAAAAAACAGCTGAAAAAGCTGTATTTCTTAAAGTATCAAAGCTGAAATGTCCTGAAGGAGCTGAACGTTTTGAAAAATTGCAGACAATATGTGCCAAAAAAAATGTACGGCAGAAAAAAATGCTTTATAATAATGGTTATTATGAACTGTATTAAATGATGCCGTTTTAAAAAGTTTACTCAGTAGTTTTCCAAATTTCTAGATACAAAGTTCTGAACTGCGGGACACACTAAATGTTAACAAAGCATTTGTCTGAGAAAAGGCGTTTGTTGTAAATATAGGAGTGAATCTGCTGCTAAATTAAAAGGGGAAAGATGGAAGAAGACGGGCTGTAAGAATAAATCTCAGCGGGGCAGTGGAGCGACATAAAGATTCGGCTCGGCGTTAAAAAACACGCAGCTTTTTGCAACATTGGACCTGTTGTAGGTAAACAAAGAGACGTAAGKGTTGGCATTCGGTCACAAAGTTTGTTTACAAATTTTAAACTGGAGGATGCGTTAACTGTTATTATGAGGGGGAAAATGAACAGATTTAATTTAATCCTCTGTCTTCCTGACTGAGTACCTTTTTAAAGATGTTTTTATGTGTTCTTGTTCAAAGCAGAACGTAAAAACTTTGTCACTAATCCTTCCACGTTCTCAAACCCCAGCAGCAGCCTCATTTTATTATTTTGTTTCTCCTGTGGGCAGGAAGCAGGAATGCTAACTGCACCCCCACATGGGAAGCAGTTCCTCGTTCTGCCATCGTTCAGAGGACTGTGGATCTGTAGATGAATGGATACAGGGGAGGTGGCAAACACCATTAACTTCTGGTTTTAGTTTAGAAGTTTGAGTAAATTAAAAGTTTGGAGTTAACGTTGCCATCTGCAAAGCTTTGAAGAGGAAAGGGTTCTTCTTACCGCGTCTCAGTTTTCTTCATTTTGAACTCCCCAAAGCAGCATTGTGAAAGCCTCAGCGCACACTTTGTCCTTAATTGCTTCAACGAGGCAGTGGAAGTAAATTTATGAGACTCCTGGAATCATCCTCCGAATGTGTATCAAGAGAGACATTCTGGAGATAGCCCCGGATCAGCAGCGGGTCAGTCTGTGTGTGTGTGTGTGTGTTCACCTCAGACTTGTATCCAGGCAAACAGAATGTGAGGGCAAAACAGAGCGAGTCAACAATTTAGTGCATCTGAAGATCTCGGGGAATTCGAAACCCCATTTGTGGGTCGTTCCCAACCATAAATCTTCAGGTTATCTGGTGAGAACGCTCCTGGAGTCATCCTCTGAGCAGAGTTGAGAAGGTGAAGACGGAGCAGGAGGAGGAGGAGGTCTCTCAGGAGGATTTACATGTGCAGAACAGTCTGCAGCGGGTCACCTGTGGGCTTCCTGTTTGTAGATCCTCATTCAGTCCACCCGCTGAATACTGGAAAAGAAACCGTGCATAAAACCACGGCTTTCTGTGGAGAATAAGGCCTCTCATTCCTGCGCTCTTTTGATGAAACAGTTCCGTTCGGGCCTCTCGGTGGGATTCTGTCAGGTGGCGCGGGCTGGCTCCGTATTAATTAATAACATTCGTCGGCCCATTCAGGCCTATGCAAATGGCCTCGGCTAGAGACGGGGAGAAAGGAGACAAAAGGCCTGGCCCTCGCATTTCATATGCAGAGCCCTGCGAGGGTCAACGCCGCAGAGCCACTCGATAGGAAACACCAGCGTTTCCCTCAGGCACGCCGCCGGATAATAGCCCAGAAACAAGCTCATTAAGGGAGATTATCAACCTCCATTCCTGCACACAGACACCGAGCACTCAGAGCTTCCTCTTCTATTCTTATTCAATTGAGCTAAAGTGGGAGAAAGGACGGGGGGCATGGGGCAGACAGATGCACCACAACCTGCCTGMGTGGGTTATTGAGCTCCATCTTCTTGCCATATTGGCAGGGATTATAATGTATTAAATGCAGCCTCCCTGGTAATGTCTGCCTGGATTGGTGGCGATGGTTTGAGGAGCTGATGAAAGGAAAACTCTGGAGCAGAGCCAGAAGTGATCTCCTAAAACGAGTCAGTTTTACTGAAGGACTTAGTTTMGATTTTAGCGATGAATGATTCTAGAAACTGGTTACCCCTTTTATTCCTATAGATCTGTGGACTYTGAAAGTGTCTCTGAACTGAGAAGTAACTTGATCATTAACTCCTTAGTTTCCCTCCGACAAACTAATGATTCACCAGCTGACAAACATCAGAGCCTGTGCGGGTTCACTTTCTCTTTTGTCCTTCTTAAAGCACGTTTGAGCTTTAAATACTCCTTAATTAAACGCAGAAAACATAAACCAGTATTGTCCTCATTATGATCTACTGACTGTTAGCTAAATATCTCACAAACAACTTGATGGATTTTAAAAAAACTTCCAGGGAATGTGGAGTCAAGATGGCCACAGCCAGTTAACCAAACAAAAACTATTTTAAAAGCATTTTACAGAAATAGAGCTTCACATCTACTCCAAGCACTAATGGAGTTATTGCATAAGATTGCACATGATGTTTTCAAGTTTTGACCAAAACTGCTCTAACTCTGCAGATGTACCTGTCAGAGATCATGACATTATTTCAACCCCTGAAAATTGTTTGATGAAATTTTCTAATCTAATCTGCAGCTATCATAGCTGACAGATTTTTCCAGTTTCCTACAAGTAAACAGATCCCGGTGTTCTGTAACTTTGTTTCCGCGGGTAAATATGTCGGATTTACATAACGGCGGCTGCTCAGATTACGCCCTGTTTAATTCCTCGTATACAAGTTTGTGTCGTCCAGAGGCAGGAGTTCCCCTCGCAGCTTCCTCTCTGAGTGGCTCCTGCGTGAAGAATCCCTCCAGGCTCCGCTCGGCATTCAGGGGATGATGATTCATCTCAGATGTGGTCAATGAGGAAAGAAAAAAAAAAAAGGTCTTTTGCTGGTGTTTGTTTACATAAAAGCCCATTCATGTTTGATGAGTCAGAACTGCAACAAATTAACCGCCTCCTCCGACAAATTATCGTTTCTCCACACGCTTGGCTGATGTGAGGACTCATGTCCGGCCCCGGCTGAGGCGGCAGCTCYTGAACCAGGAGGAGTTGTGAGAGCGTGCGCTCAGAAATGTCGGATGTGGGGGTGAATCATCCAGTGGCATGTCCTGAGTTTCTCCCTTTTTAACCTCACTGGTATAATAAGCACCAAACTATAAATACAGATACCAGCTGAGTCACACCAGAAATATTACCACTTATCTTTGGATGCTGCTGTTATCCCGTCCAATGTGCTTCTGATTTTATTTCCTCAAATCTGAGATGGGGATTTCCTGGAGYAAATGTGAAGAAAGTCATCAAAGGGTGAAAAGAAGGAATTCTGAGTTGTTGTTGTTGTTCTGTATTTATTTATTTATTTATTTGCAAATGGAGTGAAATGAATGACTTGGAGGCTCTGGAGCAACAAAACAGAAACATTTGCTCAGTGTTGTATAAAGTACCTGAAAGTGATACTTGAGTAAAAGTACAAGTATCTTACCAAAAAATTACTTTGGTAAAAGTTAAAGTCTTCTCTAAAAATATTACTTGAGTAAAAGTCTTAAATATTTTTTGTACGTAAGTTTCAAAAGTAAATTTGTGATATAAAACCTACTTAAGTATTAAAAGTAAAAGTACTGAGTAAAAGTGAGCAGTTAGATTTTCCAAAATGACATTTATTGGGAGGTGACTTCTCCAAAAAATATTTTTTCTAACGGCGTGCAGCTGTGATGGGTTGTGTACAAGCTAACAGTGTGTCAGAATGGTATATATTTATACTTCTCATCCAACCACAATTAAATTCACTCTATCCTGGAGCCACAATTTATCAGGATAGTAATTTTTAAAATAATAACAACTTGGAATAAAATAGGGGTAACGACTTTCTACTTCTTACCTTTTTTAAAACATGTAGTGAGTAGAAAGTACAGATAATTGTGTAAAAATGTAATGAGTAAAAGTAAAAAGACCGCTGAAAAATAATTACTCAAGTAAAGTACAGATATCCAAAAATTCTACTTAAGTACCGTAACAAAGTATTTGTACTTAGTTACTTTACAACTCTGCATTTGCTCAATCAAATTTTTGTTTCTTTAATTAATTGCTCTTTTTTTCACTAATTGAGCTTGTTTTTTGTTTTGTTTTGTTTTTTTCTTTTGGTGTAAAGAAGCCACACACACAGACGTTCTGGACTGTGACTCCATTGAACTTATTTTGAAACTTATATGAAAGAAAGTCACATCAGTTCCGTCTTTTTAAAAATGCTTCCTCTATAGCAAATCAATACATGTAGAAAACAAGACTCTGATTCACAGCATCAAGAGTTTGGGCTTTTTTTTCTTCCATCTCTTGGATACAGCTCAACTTTCCAACTATAATTAATTTGCATTTTTAACGTGCAGCCCGTGCATTGCAGCCACCCATGCAGGGCAGCAGGCTGGACTGAACGCCTGAGGATGGAGTTTCACGGGGTAGGAGGACGGAGGGACGAAGTCGTGGGGCCAAAGGCAGGAGAAAGGGCCATTGAAGGGGGTGAGAGGCGCGCGGGCCGGGCCAGCCAGCCAGCCGCTGCTCACAGGGAGCTTTCCATCGCAGGCGTCCCCACTCAGCTACCTACACTGTTTATCCTCAACATGAATATCAATGAGGGCCTCCTAAAATACGGCCATTCTTCCCCACCCCCCCGCGCGCAGCAGCCACCAGGTCCGAGTGTCAGCACGCATCGGCTGCACGCGCGCGTCCTTGTTCTGCTACAGACCTGTCTTGTCTCGAGTGTGAAAAATCAGCTTGTTGCCCACTGCCCACCGCTCGGCTCTGGCACAGAACTACATCTGTGCTCTGTGTGTGTGTGTGTGTGTGTGTGTGTGTGTGTGTGTGTGTTGGTCTGTGTGCACCCTCGGAAACAAAGAACACAAAGGGGGTCGCTGCATTGTCTCATGCATGTGCCTGTAAGGTGTCTGTCACCTTGCTCGCTGCACACTTACAGTAAATCCATGTATGCCTTTGTGCCCCGACGCCTCTGTAAAAAGCTGCGGTCTTACAGCAGTGATGTAATGCCAGGGGGGCTTTGTGTTCACTTTTCTCTTGGCTTGATGTAGCCTTTAATAAATCGCCCCTTGGCAGAGGCCCAGCAACTAACACAGGGGTGTATAATAAGTTCATTTATTTGTCAACACTGAGCCCACAAGATGAGAAAGCGCCTGGCTGTGCATTTTAAAAAGGCAGTGAGGGGCTTCCTTTGCAGCTATCAAAGGACCCACCTCTTTGATTCCAGATATTAAAAAAAAGAGCATGAAGGAAGAAAAATCTCTTTCGGAGCCATCACACGCAGTTTTCTTTGCAATTGAATATGGCAATATGTTAATACGCAGGCTGTTCAGTGCCCCCGTAGGCCACTCCTCCAACCCATAGGTGGCCTAAGAAAAGAGGAGTACTTGCAGGAAGGAGGGTGGGTGTGTGAGGATGAGAGGCAGGAGGTGAGGGTCACTGAAGGGCGACTCTTTTCTTCTTCCAAAACCTCACAAGGGTCTGGATGCAGACTTCAAGAGTGATGAGCAGCAGAGATGTCTGCCCCCTCTCCCCTCTTGGTACGCCCACAGCCTTCTCCCTGTTTGCTCCCCGGAGCCTTGTCGCCGCGCCGTCCATCCCTCCCTCTTCATCTTTCTCCCCCCACTGTCAAGCTCCCCCCACGTCCAGCCGCTGTCTTTGTCCAGCCCGTCTCTCTGAATTGGTATCAGTGGCGAGGGGAATGGATGCTGCGTCTCTCAATCGGGTGAAATGAGGTGATGACTCCGGACAATGGAGTCACACTCTCCTGCCTTCCCTCTCACAGAACCGCCACTCTATTAATATGCTAAAAGATAGGAGGGCCGCCAATGCAAGCCTCTGCCTGTTGTAGCAACAAAGACTGGGGCATGTGTGCCATTCATGGGCCCTTTCTTAGCGGGCCATGTMTTHCCCCCCCCCCCCCCCCKAAAAAAAAAAAGGTAGAAGTTGAGCAAGACATAAAGAGAGAATAGAGAAAGTTGTGTGTGTATGTGTGTCTTTCCGTGTCTGTCTGTCTCCTTCGCACTCTCCCTCACTGGATGCCAGTTTCCTTGCCTTTTTGGGCTTCTGGCCCGTTCACAAGCTGTCTCATTTGCATTATGAATGACAGTGAGGGGAGCTAACAAGGTTATTGGTCTTTGAGACGCACGCCTGTGACCACACGTGGAAAAGGACCTACAGCAGTGCGCATTGGCAAAGGCACTGAGCCTCTTTATTCCTCCTTTTCCAAGGGCTATGGGGCTTTTTTTTTTCAGCAAGCACACGATTTACTCAGGAGATGGAAGAAAAGGGGCCGGGCTGGGGAAAAGTGGGGGACTGGATTGGGGAGGTTGCTTTTCAGCTCCTTTACAAGCCAAGTGAACCCTCATTATCCAGGCCTCTGGTCATTAGAGAGCACTGTGTTCAGAAGCGGTGCAATAGACGGGGTGTTTATTAGCTGACTGCAAGATTACCAGATCATATTGTCTCAGGGTGGGATGCATGGTATCTGCAGAGTTCCCTTAATAAACCACGTCAGGTGCACGAAGAGCCCAGTTAACGAATAATTAATTAAACCAAAGATTTGGGTTATTTGTAAACTTTTATTCAAGCCTTTACTCAAATGTATTTCTGTCTTTGTCAGATTTTCGATTCGCCATGTATCCTCCATCCATGATCGCCACCGGAAGTGTGGGAGCAGCGATCTGCGGCCTGCAGCTCGACTCACCTGACCAGTCTCAGTGGGGGGACAGTCTGACAGACCTGCTGGCTAAAATCACCAACACAGAAGTGGTAAGTTTCTCTCATATTCCCACAAACACTGAGAGCTCTTTCACCTTTTCAGAGCAAAACATGCATTTTTAATTAAAAAAAATAAGAATAAAAAAACTGAATCATTTTGAAAACCTTGTTCCCAGCTTCGTTTTGGTAGTTTATCAAAAATAAACCTGACATTTGGAAACTTTAGGGGGATGTTTCTGAGTAATGTTTGTACTCAGTCGGTAAATGACYGTATCTCTAACATCAAAGTACTCGTTAAAGTACTTTTACAGTAACTGTGATTCAAAGCTGAATCAGCTGCTGTCTTCAGCGGGAGCTTTTTTTTATTTATCTCTGCAAGCTGTTTTAACATCCCCACTCAAGTGCTACAGATAACCAATCTAATTACCACTGAAACATTTTTACAACCTCTTACCGGTAACGGGCAATTTTCTCGTCTACCAAACCTGCTGGACCATAAAATCCCACATGTTCGTTGAGGCTGGGCATCTGCAGCAGACAAGTGAAAATAATGAAACGTCAGGTTCAGCTTCCCACAAACACCTCGTTTGAAAACCTGTATCTCAAAACCAAACCCAGAAATGTCTCCACTGAAATGTTCAGTGCTGAACTTCAGGAGCTTCCTAATCGAGCGAGGTTGACACCGAATACGTTAAGAGACGAGGAGGCTGCCGGGCTGTTGTGTGAAGTGAATGTTGCAGAGGTGGCTGAGTTAAGTCCAAACACATGCAGGGCCCCTGCTGACTTTAAGATGCCTGGCTTTCATCATGCAGATGGTAGAGCGCTTTCAGCTCGCTMTAGCTCACTGCCAGGGTGAATAGATGCTTTAGAATACACGCAGAATAACGCTATAAGACGTTATTATTGTTATTTGTCTCTGCTGGGACATTAGCTGTCTGAATTTGACCCGTGGAAACGATTCAGGAGCAGCGGACAGCCACAGAGCAGCTCTCGGGGACCGGCCCCAGCTCTGAAGCCACTGGCTTGGCAGGAGAACTTGTAAGGCCAAACCTGATGAAAAAGGCTTTTGGTTAGCGCGAGCAGACTTAATACAAACATTTGATTTAGTGTGTGCACTGCGCACGGGGTGCAGATCAGCYGGCGCAACACTGATCCCAAACATCACTCGCGTGTGTGAAGCCGGGCCCCGAAAGGAGGCAAGTGAAGGGAGCAGGGAAGCTGTCGATGTGTGAAAACAACGCCAAGGGGGCGTCGTGGCTCCCTTGTGACAATCGGGACGTGRCCCGTCATCTCCTGCGGTCCGTAATGCACCGGTGCTGGAAAGTGTGGCTCCCTCTGGTGRGAGTTGTGTGAAGTCTCACAGAGCAGCTGAGGAAAAACAAATAGCTGGCCCCGGCTGCACAGGGCCTCTGTGTGTTTAGGTTGCAGGGTCTGAGACCTGGGGGGGAATTAAGTTGATCTGTGTCTCTGCGACCAGCTCCCAACTTTCCTGGATTCAGACGAGCCAGTTGCAGTAAACATGAGGCAGAGCAGAGGGCATCCTTCCCAACCCAACATATAGATGAGAGGCTGTAGTGTTAGCTGCTAACACGCTAACTAAAACTCCATACAGTGTCCTTTTTTATCACCTGCAGGTAAAGGTGAGGGCGGAGCGATAATGTCGTTGCTTTTATCTGTTGGTCTGTACTGTTAGCAAATTATTTATGAACCAGAGCACTGAATTAAATGGAATTCTGACAGGAATCATTGAATAAACATGCTAAATGTTCAGATATTGAACTCAAATTTAATGTGGTAGTAGCTGAGAATCATCTCAAACTCTGTTAGCTAAATATCTCATGACCTAAAGGATGGAGTTTAATCAAACTTTCAGAAATTATACAAATCAGCCACAGCTAATCTACTTTTAACAAAAAATGGCCTAAAATTACAGATATTACGGTAAAGTTTTGGCTGCAGTAACTGAGRCATCCTCAACTTAAAGCAATAATAAACAAAGCAGTGGGTAATTTACATTCCTTTAYGCCAGYGGCYGTTCTAGGGGRGGGGCCACAGGGGCATTGGRCCCTGCTGAAATTTGATTGGSCCCCCTGAAGTGCCCCTGTCCTGTCACTCATCTGTCCTTTGCCCAAAAGTGWTGATGCTGGGTGCAGTTCCATGTCTAAACACTAGAGGCACTAATGAGCCAAATAGAAAAGTCCAGCATGAATCAAGCTGACAGAAGTATTTTTCTTTTCTTAAAATTRGAAAAATCCTGTAGAAAAAGTATTTTAACTGGCTGGATTATCTCAAATGTGTGAGAGTATTTTATCTATGTACTGTAAAATGCAAATTGGTAAGGAMAATTTACAGTGCAKGCTGTTTTTAAATTWCATTACYAGTGTTTAAATGTGTGACTGGTAAAAWATATACACCATACCAAAACCAGRGATTTGTGTGCAAGGACGCTGAATAAATACTTGGCCCCTCTATGAATATTGTGGCCCCTTGATGGCCCCTTAATCAGAAAAATCCTAAATCCGCCACTGCTTTAAGCAATGCCAGACCTTTATCTTAACTTTAAAACTTTAAAACTCTAAAACTAACACTACTAGACTTGGGAAAGTATAATTTGATGAGAAATAACCAGAACAAACAGGAGGTTCAGTGTGACTCGTATAACTAGATGTTATTTCAACACTTACCCTTCCCTTTTTTTGCCARAAATACCACCTCAGTCTCATGATGATGATACAGAACTGAGTGTGTTTAAATGTGTGTACGCTTAACATACTTGTTGAGCATTAAGAGCACCATCCCAGCCAGATAAAATTCTGAAGCCAAAATAAGTCCCTTCAAACCGTGCAGCTGCTGCTGCCAACAGCGCCACCACCGCTGGTATGACTGGCATCCAGAAGCTGTGGTTTTCCACTGAAAAAACCATCGGGTCGGGTCGCCACCGCCGGTCYCTGCAGGAGTGTTTCACACACCTGGCGTGGCCGAAAGAGACGAGCAGARAGGTCCGATATAAAATCTGAGGTTTAAAGTGGGAGTTTTGTCACAGAGTCTGAGCTTCTGTTTGTTCGTGATTGAACAGGATGTAGAGGTTAAAGAAGTGCAAAGGATTTCAGACCACCACTTCCTAGATTTTATTGTTTCGACACTCATTTTCTCTCAGTCTCTCATTCATTTTTTTTTTCCGGAAACACATTTTCCCCATTTCTTCCTACATTCCTGTATTTCTACCTCTTTTTTTTCTCTCTCACTGTGGCTTTTACTGCCCAAATGTTTGCAACTTGGATGTTATTTTGAAAGATTACCTCGAACGACTCTGGCAGTGGCCCTTCTGCTCGGGATGTTTTGGCATGCAGGCCAAAGGAGAACAGAGGGTACGTTTTCTTTTGTAACTTGTAATTCTAGTCATGCGGCGTCTTTGTTTTTCCTGTGTCAATCCTCCGACGTTTTGTTTTGATATTCTCTGAGTTCTGTGTGTTTGTCTGCCAGTGTGTTTGTTTCAGCTGTCTGACCGGAGTTCTTAACGCTGTCTTTTGTGGTACAGTCAGCAGTTAAAACACATTCCTTGGCTTCACACATTTTTTTTCTCTTTGGTTTTGTCTGTCTGCACGACTCCCRCCGGCTGCCAGTGTCACAAAGGCCACCCGGGGATAATGTGCATGCTTTGATTTCTCAGCATGGCACCCCGATGTCAAACGTTTGGAGCCAGTAGATGGCTGTGACTCCAGGGGGACGAGGTGATCACGTGTTTTCCGGTTTTAAGGGCAGCAGGACGGCGCAACACCGAGCCTCATGCAGCCAGTTGATTCAGGCRTGGTGGCCGCCACATTGTCCAATACCTTGAGCACTGATGTTTCCAGTAGTCACACACTGAAGTCATTAAAGGTTCTTGAATAAAGTCTTGGCATGGGGGCCGAACTGCAGCTTTTTCGAGCGGCACAGACTCGGGGAGAATGTCTTTTAGGAAGTGAGGGCTCGCATTCTTGCGGTAAGACGCAGGCAGTTCCTTTGCATGTTCCGCGTTGCACTTAATTTCCCCCCAGAATTAAAGATTTTATGACCAAAGGYGCTCATGTTGGTGGGAAGATTACGTGCGTGCACCCCCTGATGTTAGCAGCTAACCTGGAGCTGCTCAGGTTCCCTCCATGTTGGATCGATCCAGCTTCCTCCAGGTCAAATAAATCATGACATTTCAGCTCGCCTGAGCTACTTCTTAAGAAATTAACATTATAATTTCAGGGAAGGAATTACTGAAGACATAACTTGCCTGTGGTCATAAAAGAAAAGTTTTTTTTTTTCTAATAAAATAAAATTGCTGCTAAAGGAGCTGCTTTTGACGTCAGTTTGACAAAGTATGAGGTCTACCCTGTAAGGTGTCACGCCCTTTGACCTCTGGCACGGTGACCCTTTGTCACTCAGCGCCGTTCGTCTCCCTACAAGCATTTCTGATGTGAGCGAGGCCTCAGCTCTCAGTTCATCAAGATCCAGCAGCACCAGAGGCTACACCACATGCTCAAACTGTGGCCCATCAGGTTCAGATTAGCTGTAGCTTTCTAAAGAATGTTTCCCTGCTACACTTTCACCCGTCTCCCAGTCCTGATCCCCACACAGACTCCTGCTGCTGTAAGGCGTGTGTGTGCATGTGCAGAGCTGTGAGAACGGCCTCGTTCGGTCTGTTAGGATTTCGCCAGCAGAGGGCGTTGTAGCAGCAGCCTCTTCTTGCACGAGAGGCTACCGTCGCTGCTTCTTTCCCTTAAAACAGTTTGACCTTTCAGCGACACGCCTGCGAACAAACCCCATTCACCGCTTTTTTCCCCCCAAACTTAACCGCCTCTCCAGAGAGCTGATCAGTCTCCCTGCGCCGCTCCGTGCCCCCTCTCAACCCCTCATCAGAGTCAGGAGACGAGGCCTCGGCGCTCCTGAGGGCCTGGTCTCCCAGGTGGGTTCTCAGGTTGCCGCCGCGGCCTTTGATGGTGAAAGCCGAGGACTTCGGGTCCTCGGATGGACCTGCAGGCGGGCGGGAACACAAGACTGGCTCTCGTTACAAAAGCACCACCTTTGTGTTCCCACAGGAGGTGGATGTAATTAACATAGCTTTAATACTACCAGTGTTTTCAGCTGCTGTTGTCAAGGCTACTCCTGTTTGGGTTCTGTGTGTGTTGGAGGATGGGGGAGGTAGTAGCATGTTCTGGTATGTCTGTGCACATGGAAGCACATGAGGGCTGTGGGGGTGGGACACAGCCCACACACAACCCTGGTGGGCTGATGTAATGCTCAGGTCTGGCCTCTGTCTGAGCTCAGGTTTTTGGTCTAGAATGTTGGTGCACAATAAGGCTCCTCTTTCTGCTTCGCCGTTCTTTTAAAGGAGGCTGGACTCCGAAAAACACTAGTATCTGGACTATCTGATTGACTTATTCAACAAAAACTGCTGCCAAATATTTAACTAGTAACTAGAGAAGTTGTATTTCCTGTGAAAATACAATGAATGCAAAAAAAAAGAAGCTGAAACAAGCAAAAAAAAAAAAACCGGCTGAAAAGAACATGAATAAGCAAAGGGATGCCTAAAGAGCATGTTTGCTGAATTAAGCAGAACAAAGCTGAAATAAACATAAAAAGGAGAAATTAGCTTTTTAATAAAGCTCAAATTAGCAGAAAAACAGCTGAACCATACCTCAAAAGAAAAAAATAAGCTTAAATTAGCATAAAACAGCTGAAAGGAGCACGAAAGTTTTAAACTAGAAGTTGAACTAAGCAGAAAAAAGCTGAAATATAAACAGAAATAAGAAACATGCAAAAATTAGCAAATACCAAAAGAGCATGTTTGCTGAATTAAGCGGAAAAAGCTGAAATGAGCAGAAAAAGGTGAAGCTCAAATTAACAGAAAAATAGCTGAACATTACCTGAAAAGACAGAAAAAATTAAATTAACATAAAGCAGCTGAAAGGAGCATAAAAAAGCTTCAACTGCAAGTTGAAATATGCTAAAAATGAGCTTAAATTAGCACAAATAAACAGAGAGCAGAAACATGCTAAATTAGCAAAGTAGTACCAAAAGAGCACATTTGCTGAATTAGGCAGACAAAGCTGAAAAGAACACAAAATGGTGAAATTAGCAGAAAGAACAGCTGAACAGTCACAAAAAAACAAAATAAATTAATTTGCAAATAAGCAGCTGAAAGGAGCATAAAAAGCTTAAACTAGAGGTTTAAATAAGCAGAAAAAAGCTGAAATTAGCACAAGCAAGCTTTAAAAATGTAACCAAAACAGGTGAAATGAGCAGTAAAATTAAATGGTTTCAAGGAAATTATTCATTTTCAATGAGAGAAAAGTGGCTGAAAAAGCTGAATAATTCAAAAAGTAAATACAAATACAAAAAGTCCTACTCAACTCGTTTCAGATTTTTCACCTGGATTATTGAGGTGCATCAGGACAACAATGAATTCCTTTTCATTTGTGTTACAGGACGTTCTTAAAGAGTGCCAGGAGCAGATCGAGCGCGTGCTGGAGAGCAGCCTACGTGAAGGGCGACAGCAGCAGCAGCAGCAGCAGACTCAGAGGGGCCCCAGTGGGAAAGGCCTGGACGAGCTGGATCAGTCCTCCACACCCACAGACGTCCGCGATGTCAACTTGTGAACCAGCAGAGGGTGCCGTTGCACAGGATTTACAGAGAAAAGGAAAAAAGAAAGAAAAGGAAAAAAAAATGCATTATTAAAAAAAACAACTTCAATTTTTCTAAAAGCTGAAAAAAAAGAACAAAACAACAAAAATATTAGAAACACAAGCCCATGCTTGCTAGTTTTTTGTAGATTGTATTTTGATACAAAAAACACCTGCACATGACATAGATTTTCTATAGTCTAAAAGCAACAAAATTGAAGCTCCYTGGTGCCTTGGATACACAGAAGGGAAGTTAATCATCTTTACATTCTGCCTTTTGATTGTATAGTATGATCTTTAACTTATATTTTAACCTGAGCTTGACGATGAGACTCTGACGGTGGAAGTAGAATCGGCAAAGAAACACAGGATCGCAGCGGGGCTTACAGTTAATTTTTTTCCCCCCTCGTTTAGTGTTAAATGATCATAGTTCAGTTCAGGCTGGTGGAAAGTGAAGACGTGTGTCCAAGCTCCCTGACCGTCAGAAAACGTCCATTTGTGTTGAAGATGGAGCCAAGAAAACATGGCGGCGTGTCCCATAGGCAATAGCTGGGGATMATAGTAGTATTAGTAATTACTATTATGAATCTCATCATTGGGCATATTTTGTAACAGAGTAGTAGATCAATAAGCTCCTTTTGTCAGGCTGCTTGTATGTGTCATTTTGTGGATGCTGTGTGTGTGTGTTGCTGAGGATGACTGTGTGTGTGTTACGTGATCTTGTATCTATATAAGCAGTATGCAGTCTGTGGCGTCGGGGCACTTGAGCGAAGCTGTAGACTTTTTACGACTCTTTGTGAAATGAAAAGTCGAGGTCGAGCCTCGAACCACCGGGGGGTGGGCGTCTGTGCCAAACCGCTGCTCCCCTCGTGCACGAACGGTGCGCCGTGGTTCACATTTAAATACAAAAAAAAAGAAAAAAAGGAGTGTGGACCGTGAACCAGACAGGAACAGAAAGTTGTGGGCAAAGGGACTTAGTTGTAGAGACTCGTACCTGCCTCAAAGCATTTCACTTTTGTCTCACGGGTGATGTGAGGCGTATCACTGCCATTGACACGATGGAATATCACAGATACCCGTGCAGCGTCTCGTGTCTCGTCTCGGTGAAAGTTTTTAATCGAACTTCTCTGCCGAAACTCAGCAGCGGGGGGGACGTTGAGATTAGGAACGGCTCAGAAGTCACTGTGGTGGTGCAGGAGCATGCTGCTGTGTAGGAGATGTAAATGTTATTTAGCCAATGGCTGGAAGATGAGTGATTTAAAAAAAAAACACCTGAAAGTTTCACTATGAAAGTTTATCATCTGCATATATGAATTGAATCAATGTTTTTGTTTGTCTGTAAGAAGATCAGACAGAAAAGACGTTTCCATTAACGTGGAGACCTGCTAAAAATCACGAAAGGATCGACTTTATTTAGGGGGTGGGTGGGGGGGGGTCGGGTTACTGTCAATGCATCTGGAGTCCCGTTTAGGGTTCTTTCCAGCTCCCCAATTTCAATGTCAAAGCACTTTGAGAAGAAGCTCCCCAGGAGATGAGTAAAATAAAATGTTCACAGTGATTGGAAGTGAATGGTTAGTTATTGTTTTGTTTTTTTTCTCCATATTAGCCTTTTCTTTGGTTTACTCTGTAGGGCTGGTTTCCCAAACATCACACTTTGGCGTACAACAAAAGGACATTCCGATATAAGAAAAAAAACATTCCTGTTCAAGCAAATCCAAGACAGACAAATAAAACAAGGCCAACATTCGTACCGATATGCTCTTCATGGGGTTCATTTGACTTTTTTTTTTCCATTGTCAAGAACTGAAATGTTTATTTTACTTGAATTTTATTTATCTGCGTCACAGCCACAGAGAGCCACACGAGGCAGCGATGAGCTACAGGACAGGGTGGTATTTGCACGTTCTTTAAAGGGCACGGTTGCGAGGTTAGACGCCGCACAAGTTTTTGTTAAAAAAAAAACAGTTTTTCATATGGTGCTGGCTTGTGAGGGGCCAAACACATCTGTCCTCTGTGAGCTTTGCTGCTTTAAATCAATAACGGGGGGCCAGAGAAACGTTGAAACAAATCATCTTTGTTTTTGTTGCTGTTTTTGTTTTTTAATTCGACTCGTGCCACAAGGTGTCCGACTCGATGTTTCAGATGGTTTTTTTTTTTATCGTGACCTCGCTGAACGTGTGTGTATCAAGTCTGTAAAAAAAGAAAATGTGGGGAGCTGAAGTTTTTCAGTCAAACTGAACAATTCGTTGACACGTTTGCCAAAAACGTCCCCCCGGCTGAAACAAAACCTGTTGTGACCCCCACGGTCATTTCGCCTTTGATCGCCTTTGATGTAAGCTCTCTCCCAAACTTTGTTGTGATTTTCTTTCCTGCAATTTATTGTTGCATGTGTTATATATTGACACCATAAATCCATTTTTTTTTGGTTGGTTTTGTTTGACGGTTTTTTGTTGGGGGGTGGGGGGGTGCGCGACCAGACCCACGAGGGTTTTTTCTAGGATTTAGAGATACTGTATTCCAAAGTAAAGAGAGTACCGAGGAGGAGGTGTAAAAACATCAACAGAAAAAGAAAGAAAAAAAGTGTCAATATTTTATTGTCTTTTTTGCGCTGCTAATAGCAATGACTTTGTTTCATTATACAAAAAAAAAATAACATTACCTAGTCGTGATGTGTCACTTGTGTGCTGCTATTTTATAAACGTTTGTATTATAATAAAATTATTTTACTGCTTTTAAAGAGAGACATCCTGAAAAACAAAGTAGATGGTGTTAGAAGAACATGAGATGAGTATTTGACTGGAAATGTTTTTTGTACAGTTAGATAGCATATTTCATTCCCCCCCTTTTTATTTTATTTTATTTTTTTGGTTTTTATCTATTTTCCTGATCGTCTTCAGTCACATTCTGCATCGACGGTATTTCCAATACCTCAGGATTACTGGACAAAACAAACCACAAACCCATTGCATATACCTCTGCAGTGAGGGGAGCCTGGAACAGAGACGATAGAATCCACTGAGGAGGGAGAGAAAAAAAATGGTTTTCGAATGTTTTAGTCGAGCAACAACCTCCTCAATGAGATGGGAAACAGGAAATATGCAAGGCTCCCATTTGGACTTAAACCATACTGGAGGGAAGGGGAGGGGGCACAATTACAGTCATGTTGTCTTTGGATTTTATTTTTGTTTGTTTGTTTTTTATGCCAATAATGTGTGTTTGCTTCTGTCCATGTTGGTGCTACATTTGCATTGTGATCTGTTAAAGAGGGGGAAACCAATCCCCCATGGTGGCCAAAGTCCAGATTATTTGCTTTATACAACAGCGATCACAATGAGTGTCATTAAATATGGATTTTGTGAAAGAGTGGTTTTGTTTTTGGTCTAAAATAAAAAAAAAGTGTTCTGCATCATTGAACCTGTGGCATCACATTCAGTCGTAAATATTCTGCTATCTGGACGTTTCAGTGGTGCAGAGTTCCCCCTGTGCACCCCCCCTCCCCTCCTCCCTCCATTATAACTCGTATTGTGTACCTCAAATGTCTGTTGCACAACCTCTGCTCAATAAACTTCTGCTTTAAAGGGTGTGACACCACATCAGCTCACTTTTCTTCATTTTTCCAGCTGATTGTCTCTGAGTCAGTAGTTCAGGTGTTCATCTGAGTTGTGAGTCAGAAGATGCCACACATGAAGGGTCATCAGACAGCAAAGAGAAACATAAGACAAACACCAGAAAATATATATATATCAGTGTAGCAGTTTTGTATTTGTAGTATTTATACAAAATCTAATGAGTTGTGTTTTAGGTTTTGCATCTCTGGCCAATTGTTTTATTGGGAGGTGGAGCAGAAATGCTTCCTTTTGACTGTAAACATTTCAGACTCCCGTCCTTTTAAGTTGGCACATTCATTAACACAGCTCATTAAACCATGTGCTTTTATTACCAGTGCATATTCATAAAGAAAACATAGATGTGAGCAGGGTAAAACATTTTAGATACGTCTCAACAGAGGTGAGCATTTGACTCTTAAAAACATGTCCGCTCCTGTTTGGCAACAAGTCAAATGACAGATGATAAAACAGCAGCTTCCTCTCTGACTAAAATGCTGAGATTTCACTTTTATACCTGGTATTTGTTTGTTAAACAGAGCACTAGATAATTAAGTTGGACAAGGAAACGGTCTTGACTACAATCTTTCCTCAGCTGTGGCACTTTTTCCCGGGTACTACACAAAATGAACATGAGGGGGAGCAAAAGCAACACCACCAGTGGATGAGTTCTTGCATCAAAGTTATATTTTGGCATTATGACGGAAGGAACTAATGTCTAAGAGACAAGAAGCTTACAAATGTTCACTCGCCAATCTCATGTAACAAATGGTCATTCACAGTAATATAACTGGTTATGTTTGTTTTAAAGCCACACAAAAACACAAACACCTCAAAACAGAATTCATATTCCATCTTCATCTTTTTTTGTGACATTAGATGCAAAACAGTTTCTCTAATTGATCATGTTCGTGCATATAAAAAACGTCTAATATTGTTTCACTAACACTTGTACCAAATTCAGAAGAGTTTCCTGAGAAATTGCTATTCATGTCAGTTGATAGCACTCGTTGAATAAAGCTGATAAATTGTTCAAGGCAAAATAATAAATACAATTTCTCATATTGTTTTAAAACATACAAAAAAACAATTTGGCATAAAAAAAAAAAACGATGTGTCATTTGCGGAAACAAGCGGCCCACCTGTATAAATGCTGAGAAATGGATGTTGGTGGATGCTGAATTCTGCTTTATGGGAAATTTCCCTTTAAAGGTGTAAGTTAAAAAAGAAAGAAAAGGAAAAAAACATAGAAAAATATTTTTAAAAGCTGAGCTAGTAAAATATAAAATAAATTAGCACTTTACATTGTTGTTCCTTTTAAAATAACAGTTATAAACAAAAATGATCATTGTGCTGCTTACATAATGACACTCATCGTTAAACGCATGTGCTGAGTATGTGTCCAAAGCTGCCACACACATGGAGAGTCCAGGGATCCTTCATCATCTGCTGCTCTCTGAAAAAAACTGTTTTAAAATCATAGCACTTACATACAGCGTGATCTAATATGTACAATGTACATTCATGTACAGTATATACAGTACATACAGCAAATCAATGCACAGATGGTGGTTATACTTCAAGACAGATGCACATAAATAATGTTTACATTTCATTGCTGCAGAAGCATAGCTTTGTTCAGTTCACTGAAAGCATTAACTACCATTAGGTAAAAACAATTATGTTGTTGCCTAGAAAGTGAGAAAAAAAAAGAAAAAACTTCATGCATCTGAACAGGTCGGAGCTGATTAAATACTTCAGTCTATATCTAAAGTGACAGATTCGACAGAAAGTCTGGTTTAATAATATCACACACCAAGATGCCTTTGCACATTCTCTAAAGCCAGTTTATGTCAGTATTTGTCTCGAGGACGCTACATTACTGAACTTGTACAGGATGAACCTTCAATACACATCATAAAGATAAAATAAGGTGACAATTCTATCCGACGAATATGCTGATGTGCACATCAAAAAGCTGTACTGGAAATGTCATCGCGCCCCATGAAATATATTTGTCGCGTCATCAGTGGTTATGGCTGTCTCACAGCTCTACTGCAGGTAGCGGTAGACTTTAAAGCAGTGGTTCCCAGAGTCCGCCACTGCCACGTGGCCATCAGATGTAAGGGCCAAGCCCTGCGGGCCATACAGTGGGTCGGCTGAAGTGTTGATGTAGGACAGGAAAGACCCTGAGCTGTCAAACACCTACAACACACGAGAACAAAACAGGTGAGTAACTTTTACACAGTTTTATATCCACTCTTTTTTTATTTGGTAAAAATGTTTTTGTCTTAAAGTTAACCTGGATCCGACTGTTTCCCCAATCAGCAACAATAATATTTCCATTGGCATCGACGGCCACGCCTGTTGGTGCGTTGAACTGGCCGTTTCCCTCACCATGGGAGCCAAATTTAAACAGAAACTCCCCATCAGCATTGTATACCTGTCCGCAAGATTAAACACACACACACACACACAAAAGAGTAAGTGAATACAATTGTTACACATCATGGAAAATATGAGTGCAAAAAATAATACAAAGCATACCGGTAATTATTTTAAGCTATAAAGTCAGTTATGTAGCCTTTTGTTTTTCACACCGAGACCTTTTTTGTTTGGCTAAATCTGCTTTTTCTAGTTTTAATAAGACCAGATATTATTAAACTTTATTATGACAAACACTGCATGCATATACCTGCAAAAACTCATACCTTGACTGAATGGTTATGGAAGTCTGTGACGACTATCTCATTTTTGTTGTTAACAGCCACAAAGTGAGGACCTGAAAATAGCCAAGCAGACAGAAAAGGGAAAGAGCAACTATGAGTCACCAACTGCTTTAAAACATGAGAGGAAGTTCCACACTATTTTTGGACTTTGGAAAGACGATGAAAAATTATATGATCTCAGAGAGAATCCATGGTTCTGACGTGCGACATTATGATTCAGCATACAGGAAGAACAATGATTTATTTAAGTAGACCACTCTTGTTGAATCGATTACTTACTGAAAACAGGGCCAGATTTACTAAGCTTTGATTCCAGTGCAATGTTTGCACCACTTTTCTCTAAAAGAAAAGAAATGTAAAGAACGGGTGAGTTACAGCTTCATAAAAACATTGCCAAGCTGAAAACCAAAAGCACAAGCAAATGACTGTTTTTTTATTTCAAAATCTGAGTCATGCCCAACAATAAACATCCCGTTGTTTCATGCATCAGAATGTATTGTATATCTTTGCCACTTAATAGCTCTGTTTTATATAAAAGACTGGTTGTGTGTGTGCATTCAGTTTGATATAATCAGAGCAAAAACAAAAACTTAAAAAAGTAAACAGACAGGTGTATGTACAGACACTGATTACACATTAAATTAAAAGGTTGTAAAGAAAACATGCAGATTACAAAAAACTTTCTTAAAAAAAGGAAATAAAATAAATACATCTGTAAATCTGGCCCAATTACATGCCTTGATTCCTGCTGCTTTATTTAATGAGTATCTCTTCCCAAAATACAACACAATACCTGCAAAGTGTCTCTCTGAAGTTCCTCGGGCTCCAAACTTGGTCACCAGCTTCCCATTGGATTGGAAAATGAAAACACAGCAAGCTTTATTATCAACTGTGATGATATGTCCATTCTTATCCACAGCCACACCTTTGGGTCCCATCAGTCGTCCAGCACCGATTTTACTCTGCAGCGAGCAAACAAAACAGTTTGGTCATTTAGAGGTTTTTTTTTAATTATTTTCATTAAATTCACGGGATAAAAACAAACTTTTCAGTCTTTGTCAGTCACCTTGAACTTGCCGTCCGAGGAGAAGATGCTAATCCATCTATTGTCGTAATCGGCTACAATGATGTCACCGTTCATGTCGACCGCCACACCCGTCGGGCGCTGCAGTTGTCCTGGTGACCGGCCCCTTACACCAAACCTCATCTTACATTGGCCATCATTGGAAAACACCTACAAAAACACCTAAATAATTTAATTTCCCCAGAATCTACTTGATGAAAAAGAATTGTTTTGAAAGAAAAATAACTATTAACCTGTATGCACTGGTTGTTGCTGTCTGCAACCACAATCCGCCCATTACTGGATGCAGAAATCCCCTGAAGGTTTGTGAATTCTCCTTTGTCTCGCCCTCTTGTTCCTGCCAAGACATCAGAGCTTTATTACTTATAGTTATATGAAAACCTACATTTTATTTTTGCAGTCTAAACCTTGTGAGTCGTCCTAACAGTCTCGGCTTTTACTAAAATTAGATTTTTCACATGTATAAAAACATCCTACAGCGTGGTTTAATAAAACTGAATTAAATATGAGCTTTAACAGATTTTCACTCACCAACTCTGTAGATCAGCTCGTCTTCTATTGGGTTTTCCTTTTTCTTGGTGGTGCTGTACATGCTGGAGGGCCTGCGCACAGCCTTCTGTCGAACGTGACCTCCTCCTCCACTCGGGGACTTCACTCTTCTCTTCACATCGTCTGGTGACTGCAGGACATCTGACGGCTTGACGGCACGCAGGCGGAACGGACTCCCCCGCACAGGCTGGTGGTATAACAGCAAGGAGAAGGTGAATTCTCCCTCGGAGCGGACGGTATAGCCAACCTCGTAGGTGCCATTCTTGTTGTCCACCACCTCCGCTTCGGTGCACACTCCGTCTGCAGAGACTATTTCTGCCCTGAGAGCAGCGTTCCCGGTTTTTACTAGCTCCCCATCCTTGTCTTTTGTGGTGACAGTAATGGTGGTGTGCTGGCCGACCACTGCGTGTCGCAGGCCCTCGCCGGTGGCAACGCTCGTATGGCCTACAGCTCCGGTTGTGATGAGGACTCCCAGATTCTGAATGGATCGCCTCAGTCCATCCGTCTCTACTTGACATTCTAGGTGTCCGTTTTCATGAGGATGCTCTGGAAAGTTGTGCCTCGCCAGAGCACTGACCCGCTCGCCCATTTGTTTCTGAACCAACAGGACCTCCGTCGCACTGCCGTGACTTAGGGCATGCTCAGTGAAACTGCAGCTGCTTTCGATATTTTCTTTGCCCTGAAGTAAAGAAGTCAGCTGGGTCTGAAGCACCTAAGAGACACGAGCAAGGGGAAAGTCAGTAAGCAAAGAGCACAGTATTGCTTTAGCCAAAGTGTGGAAAACATTTCGGTGTTTGCTAACCTTGTGCTTACTGCTGCAGATGTTTTCCACCTCAGTAATAAGGGCAGTCTTGCGTTGGTGTAGCGCCTTCTCGAGCTCATCGAAAGTATTACTGATTTCTGACACGGCATCGTTTTTCCTCCCTGTTAGCTGTTTTGAGATCTCATTCACAAGCTCAATGGCAGCTGTCAGCTGAGGTAGTCTGCCAGAAGAAAGACAAACACAGAAGAAACATTTCAAATCTGGTTGGTTTGTCGCCTTCAGTTGTCTGCAATCTTCCAAAAAAAAAGTCAGCAAACTTATTATTGACTAAAACCCTGGACGTCATACCTGTTGCGCACGGTGTCAAGCTGATTTTTCAGAGCTGACTTGTGCTGCTCCAGCACATCCCTCAGAGGAACAGTCACATGCTCCCTGTGTTCCCCTTCTGTACACTCCAGACACATGGCTGTCTCACATGACTCGCAGTAAAACTCCATAACCTGCAGATGGCGCAGTAGAGCACAAGACATAAACAATCTAATTCTGAAGCACATAGTCTTGTAAAAGATGTGTGTGTGGCTGACATGATGAATCAGTCACAAATCCAGTCATTTTGGCTTACCTTGCCCTCATGGTTGGGACAAGAAAGAGGCTGACAGGTTGTAGCTGAATTGGCCGACTCGAGAACATTGCACACCTCGGCTCGACTGCATTCTGGATCTCGCTGTAACACTTCCATTAGGTTTGTGATAAAGAAGTTGTTCTGCAGGGCTGCAACACCCTTCTCAGGCAAGATAGATGTCTGTCTGCACACTGGGCAGGAGAGCGTCAAAGACTGAGGAGGGATGTAGTTCTGTAGACACCTAAAATAAAACGCAACAAATGAGAGAAATACAGCTGATGCTTCATGAGAAGCTCAAAGAAACGGAAACTGTATTCAATGACCGTGGACTTACTTCTCACAGAAAGTGTGCAGGCAGGGTAAAACCTTAGGGTTGTGATAACGGTCCAAACAGATGCTACAGACCAAAAACTGCTTGTCTATCTGTCTGACGACAGGGCTGGTGCTGCTGGTCTCGCGCTTGGCCATGATGACTGACATTCAAAAATGGGTGCGGAGATCACTGAACCTGCACAAATGAAGTGGGAAAAAAACAGAGGAAGTGTTAAGAAATCCTTAAGGAAATGCTTGTATGGGGTGCTAAGGGCGCATTTCAGCAAACTAAAGGAAGGAATGAGTCAGAATGTTGGCGTTATAAAACCTCCTGTATCTGCTGACGTTTTATGCTCTCCTGCTCAGCGAACTATTTCAGTGATGTGAGCCTCGCAGCCACAGGATATTTGACTTCATAAGTGAAAATTCCCAACAAATGATTGCAGTGGGAACCAAAGCATGTGATCAATGCCTCAGAGTGGAACAATTAGACAATATGACTACACTCTTTAAATGACCCAACATTTATGCACTCAGCTTGCTTTGCATAAATGTTGTACTGCATTCACAGTACTGTAGTTTTAAGAAAAGTTTGAGTTCCATGTTTTGTTTTACTCCTTACAAAGTGTCAGTTTTATTATTTACTTGACATCCAGGATGAGTTGATGTCATGCTGGGTCTCTCTCAGATTGTAGAGTTGTTGTCACATTAAACTGTATCACTGGGTCAAGCACTGATTAAATCAGTGTGCCTATGGTGTGTTGCACAACTGTCATATTACACATAAGCACAAGAGTGATTAAAGCAGATTAACAACAATGACATGTTGAAATGTAAAAAATGTGAATAGTGAATTTTCTCCTCCACTTTCTAATTTTTTTGCAGCACCAAAAGAATAATATCACGATTCATTCATCTTGTTAAAATACACAGTCACAGCTCATCTAAACAACTTAAAAAAATATTTTATTTAGCTAATATAGTTGATTTATTATTTTGCAGAAATGCAAAACATCTTTAAGGTTCCTCGGGGTAAATAATGCTGTGCAGATACAATCAAATCATGAGGATACAAGAATGTGTCAGCAGTTTACAACTTTACATTTCAAACCCATAACTGCCTTTCAGGGTTTCTACACAACATACTGTATATTTTGAAATTCCTGAGCTCAAATTTTCAAAAATGTATTTTAATTCATTATTTAACCATCTCTGATGTTTTTTTTTCTTTTGTAAATTTGCTGTTAAAATACATCGTGGTGGTTTTACTATCTGTGTGCTTAAGACACCATAAAAAAAACACACAGACTACAGTATGTAAATAAATGAACAGGATTTTCCTTTCAAGTTTTCTTCATAGTTTATGGTCATGATACTAGTGTTAAATGATTCCTCTGTAGAAAAACCATGTTCATTTGCTTTATCCGAGCCCCATTTAACAGTAAACAGAAACACTGTATGCTTTACAACTGCCCTTTGACTAAAAAGTTGAATAACTTACTGTATGTGTTGGTTTGTCTTGATGGTATGTCTTGGTTAATATTCAAGCCTGAATTGGTTAATAAACTGCCTGCCATGCTGTATAACTACACTCAGCCATTTAAGGTGCACTTCCTGGAACTACCTTAAAATTGACAGTCTTGTTTAAAGGTACATCACCATAAAGAAGGACTATACAGTGTAAACCTTGATATTTTTTAAAGCAGTTGTTTTGCACTGACCTGAGATAAGTCTAATTATCAGGCCGGAACCTTAGCATTTTATATTTGGCACACATATTACAACTGTACTTCAATTTTATTTTTTCTATTTTTTTTTCTTTTTACTTATTTCAAAAGGGGGCAGTGCAATTTAATAAAACATATGACATAAGTTAAAAAAGGTTTAAAAAAGCCAGAATTAGCCAAAATGTTATTTTTTAATCTGAAGTCCCCTGACTATGATGTTTAAAAAGCAATAAAGTGTAATATAAATACAATAACACACAATTAATATGAACAAAAAATTGGATCGAACACATCCAGACCCACTAAAAAAATAGAAAAAAAACATTACTGCTAACTAATAAACACATACAAAACTTTTTATTTTTTTGAGCGTGAGAAAAGGAAACACAAAGCTTTACAAGGCCACTCCCCAAATTCTTTCTAGTTCCTTCCCCCGACTCCAAGCAGCAGGCCGAGTCCAGGAACCACCTGTCTGCCTGACGCTCAGCGAGCTGGGCTGCCTGTTTCACATCAGCTGTCCCTGTCTGCGGCACAGGCAACAAGCAAGCGCTAACAATAGCATTCCAGTTCTTCTCACAGCTAACCCCACACATATTTCCCTCCCTTCATATTTTCCCTCCATCATTCATTATCCTGTCATTTGTCTTTTCACTCTTTCGAATGTATGGATGCTCTGAATGTATCGGCGGGCCTCAGCTCAACCACAGACATTTGACAGGTTTGTTTTTCAGGCACACAGACACTATTGTTGCTGCTTCCCAGGCGATTAGAAGGCCTCTGCTGAACCCCTTTCACTGTCCACAGAACAAGCCCAACCCTTTACACCTCCCCTCCCTGTGCTGCTCCATGAACAGTGACATCATGAGGAAGCTGGATGAGCCAAAGCCCTAAGGCTCCTCCCATCTTGACGGGCCAGCCTTTGGGATTGCAATCCCCACCACCACCACGACCACCACCTTTGCTTCCCCTCCACCCTGCCGCTCTGTCCTCTCAGCAGCCTTAGTTACTCCCACTTTCCTCACAGAAACATGATCTTCCTTTCTTTTCTCTCCCTGACAGAAGTCCTTAGAAGGTATCAAAGAACTTTAATACAACTTTAGTATTAGGAAACCTGTAATCTTTGAGTCATGGCAAATACAAATACATATAAGGTCTATTGTTCCTGTAGACGTGCTGTATAGGTGTATACATTCAGTTGTTTGACTGTAAAGCATCACCTGCCACTCTCACCCTGATTTTGCATTTAAGTGGCTTAATGTCCTGCAGGGTCAGGTCCTGTCTGCCATCTGGATTACTGAGACTACCAGATTCAGCTGACACCATCAGACCCAGTGACTACAAATCTGTATTAATGCAAAACACGTCATTTCCACATTTTCAAAAAATATATAAACATCAGTTGCAGTAAAACTAAACCAGATGATATTAAGTATTTTTGTGTGTGGGATTGGTTATTTACTTATTCCTTTGGAGGATAAGAATGCCTTGAATGCATTAATTGGATAACATGATCTCACGATTATAAAAATAATGTCCTCAGTGTAATCTGACTGTTAACTAGTAGGTAGGTCGTGTTGCCAAGTAGCCCTTTGGGGTTTGTGCTCTAAATGAAGTCATCAGCATAACTTTTTTATCAAAACATCACTAAAAGCTAACAGATGAAACTGTACCTTATGATTTGTCATTAAAATTAGTTACTATTTATATATAGAAAAAAAAAACTGAGGAAGTCTATCACAGAAGTATTGATTATATTTCTCAGAATGTTCCATTCAATAAGTCAGAAGCTAGTTTTAGTATAGACTTAGAATTAGGTGGCAAATTATTTTATAAAAATAAGATATATGGGTTTGAAAGAGACATTTGCTGACAATTTCAGTTGAGGACAACAAAGTTATCTGCTTGAATGAAGGCCTCACGAAGCTATGAGATGGAAAACTAAAAGTGTATCTTTGACTTGATGCCAGGACTTGGTATTAAAACTGATTGATATTGTTAATAATTTATAATAATAGAGCTGTTTTTAATATAGACCAATTGCATACAAAAACCCACAGCAAAACATCTGGAAAAATGTGATTTGTCTTTTAGATGTCCACCATAATATTATAGTATTTTGGTCCCACTGGAAGCTGACACATAATATCAGAGATGGGAAGCTGTCTCTTTAAAGAGGCTGTAATCTGTTGGTTATCATTCCTTTTGTCTGACTATTTGAGATTCCAGGATGTGTTTGCATCGAGGCCCATAAAAACTATTTTCCTCTTCCTCTGTTTTAGTAAGAAGTCTCTTACATCCAGTCTGTTTGTCTGCAACACTTTTTAAATAACGTTTGTATCTCTGTGTTGGATTACAAGAACCATTTTTGGATTTTGCCTTCAATAGCTCTATTACTCTGTAATATTATCTGCTGTACAGCAACAAGGAAACTCTGCACCATTTATTTCAGCAGTTGGCGTTCTTCTAACAGTCAAACTTTGGCAAAAGTCTATCTGACCTGAAGTCTAAAGTGTTGGCTCTCAATGGCATGATGTCTAGAAGGTGTTTAAAAATAGACTGCAGTTTGCATTTCAACCCCTTGGTCATGTGTCTACATACAGTAATTGTTCCTGCACTTTGCATGAACATTTATAAATACAGTTTTAGGAAACACTTCAGTGTATTACACATTTAAATTGCTCTGCAAATTAAAGTGGTGATAGGCGTAGTAGAGTATTTAACAAAGCTTAGCCTCAGAAACTACTAATGAGTTACATTTAAAAATATATTTACAGTTTGAAATTTATTCGGTTTTCTCTTTTCAAATACGTCAAGTTTTTATTTTCAGTAAATCAGAATCAATGGATGAGAATTATTCTGACTGTGTTTAAACAGCTTAATCAGCATTATGTAACAAACAAATAATTCAAACACGAGTCAAGTGGGACAGACTTTATCATCTCATTTGTACTTCCACAATAATTCAGGGAACATTTCTGCTCACAGTTTTGGTTTTATTGTTAAGAGGAGACCAAGGATCCTGAAATGGTGCCATGTTCTGCGATGACTCATAAATTATTATTCACATAGCACAGTAAAATAAGCTAACATGCTCGGCTTTCCCTTCACTGCATCAAAACAGTTTGTCTCAGTGCATCGGTCTCTGTTGAAGAATTCATGGCAATGAATGTTCGAAAAAGTCTGCAGCACACTAGATACTTTCAGCTACTGAGACGAAAATTCACTGCTATTTTTTTATTATGTTATAATTTTTTCAGTTATTTCAACTTGGAGAAAACTGGGTTAAGCATTATATATGACAACAAAAACACCTGGGTTATTTTGATAACTCAATTCCTGTGGTAAAGCTGTAGGGCAGGGCTATTCAGCTGGCGGCCCGAGGGCCGGATGTGGCCTGCGAGTGACCAAAGTTCAGCCCACCAATTGGTTCATTCATCTCTTCAGCCCAAACCCCCGGTTTTCTACTTTAGTTACTATGAGTTCTTTTAGCTAGACATAGACATGTTTGGTATTTACAGAAATGTCAGAATCTTGGCTACAAGCTGGTAAGAAACAATTCTATAAACACTCAAGACAGTTAAAATTACAAGCAGTTGAAGATAAAATTTATTTTATTTATTTCGAACAGACACTAAAATAATCAAAAAGAAAAGAAAAATAAAATAGAATGAAACAAACTTAAGAAATAAAATGTAATAAAAATTATTTTGCCCATGTGACATGCAAAATTTTATATTTTCTGTTCGAAAAGGAGCAGGTAGTACATCTTATAATGTCCTGCCCCTTTCCTACGTGTCAATGTATTATCAATTAACTTTCAGAACATCAAAAAGAGACAACTTGTTTCTATTTTACATCATGTTTAACTATGTAGAATTATTTTAAGTACTATTTATATCATCAGTTACATTGTAGACTATTGAACATTAAACATCTTATATATCATATTTTGAATTGAGCTCTGCTTTAATCAGTTTTTTTAAATTGGTTTTCAATTTGTAATTTTTTAAATCATCATTCAATCTATTCCAGACATTTACTCCACACACTGATAAACAAAAACTCTTCCTGGTTGTTCTAATATGTTGTTTTTTAAAATATCCTCCACCTCTTAAATTATAACCCCCCTCTCTGTCACCAAACATTTCCTGTATATTGTGTGGAAGTTTTAAATTTCGGACCTTAAACATGAATTGTGTAGTTTTAAATATTACCAGGTCCCAGAATTTCAGTATATTTGATTTAATGAATAACTGGTTTGTGTGTTTATGAAAACAATATGTTATGAGTATGTTATTATGAAAGTATTTATGAGTATGGTATTATGAAAGTAAAAATAAAATTGGTTAAAAAATTTGGCAAGTCAGAAATGTCACAATAATATTTGTGTCAAATAGGAGGCATAATGTGTTATTTTTGATACTGTTTAATTATCACTACTTTTATAGGGTTCTGTATGTTGTATTCATGATTAAATGCAATGCATTAAACTATTTCAAAAGTTAACAGATCTTTGTAATACTTGGTTTATTTACATAATGACTTAAATTGCTGGATGTTTGGCCCCTGAGATGTTGGCCTGCTGTAACTGTGGCCCTTGGAGCAATTTAGTTGAATCGCCCTACTGTAGGGTCATAGGTTGAGTTGGTTTGACCAAATATTGTGTCAAACGTTAGACCTAGTAGTTGCATCAGAGATGAGCCATGTGGTGGATATGGGTGTTTTAAGGGAGCGGGATCTTGTGGATTCATTTGTTTCAAAGAGCTGTTCAATGTTATATAACCTACATACATCCCTATGCATCCATCTATCTATCTATCTATAGTTAAAAACAATATTGTATCAGTTTCATTCCTTTTAATATTCACATCCACATTAATAAAAGTCTGAATAATCTTTCCTGTTTGCAGTCATTAAACTGTTCAAATCTGACAAGTCATGAGTGGATGTGTGTCAGATTCACCACATCACATCAGCATATATGTGGATCTTCCCAATGTGATCTCATTATGATAAACATTGGCAGAAGACTATGCGGCATGCAGGCCCTGCGTCCACACAACATGCACTGCAGAGTTTGCAAAGGGGTCGATCGATGCACGAGCGCCGCCTTCAACACTCATTCACCTGCAGTAAAAGAACCTGAACAAATGTGTCTCTCGGGCTGCAACTCGTGCCACATTGTTCACATTCATGTACTGTGCTTTGACACACACAGACAGTGTGTGTTGGTGATGTGATTACCACTGGACTGTGAGATGCACTGGGGTGCATTAATCATCTTGGAGATTAGAAACAAAGCATGAAGGCCCCCACGCATGACCAGAGAGGGTTTAGAATGTATAATGAGTTTTATTTTTGGCCTGACAGTTCCTTTAAAAACACTATTTGTGGTTGCAAAATGGAACATAAAAATATATATATATTGCCTTGTGTTATTGTTCTAATCCCTAAGCAAAGACAAAGAAACTAACAAACTTTTTTGAGTATTTTCAAATTTTAAAGAACAAAAAATCCTGTCTAACGCATTTTTTGTGTAATGTGTTGTATATAAAAACAGTGTAGACAAGAAGTTGAGCAGAATGCAATCATGTTGACACAGACAAACCCTGGATTGAAAATTAATTAGATGATTAGAATAGACGATATGATTTAGGCATCATCTCAAGATAATATCTTAGATTTGTTGTCTTTGTTAAGGTTTTGTAATTTCAAACTGAGCATTTTCATGTTTATTCTGTTTCTGAAAAGGCAAGGATTATAAATTCCTTTAAGTCTTTATGAGCAACAAGTTTGGAGTCATGACTGTTATTTCCCTGCTTCAATACAGCTGATTTCAATTGATAACTGATTAGCAGGCTTTTGTTGAACTGCAGTCATCTGAATCAGGTGTATCAAAGCAGGGAGACCTCTGAAACATGCAGGGCAGTGTGCCTTTAGGAACAGGGTTGAAAAATCACTGGTTTAAGAAACGGAACGATTCCAAATAACCTCTCTGAATATCCTTTAGTCACTCAATCGTTTGCTGTAAATTTAAGCAGTCTTCAACACATGACTGGCATCAATCTTGGTTCCTACTCAGTTCACTTGCAATTTGATAAACTAGTAAACCTAAAGAGATAGCAATAAAAAACGCACATGCAAGTAGGGCTGCCACGATTAATCGACGACTAATCGAATATTAAAATAATCGATGACTAATTTAATAATCGATTAATTGTTTTTTTTTGTTCTTTACTTTGTTTTTCTCTCCAAACTGCTTTGACACCTTCCACTGCCACATCTGCCTTTCTGTCCATGACACACATGCACAGTATAAGGTAGGCCGTGGACGTCACAAGACATTATACAGACAGGCTCTGGTATCATGGCTACCTGACAACAGAGCTCAAAGTGTGGGATCATTTTAAKAAAATGAAAGAGAAACCTGTGCAATATCTGCAGAGCAGAACTTGCCTTCCACAGTAATTATTTTTAGTTAGCATATAGCTAAAATCTAACGAAGGTTATATAATAGCAGCTGCATTCTGATGTGATAAGCTGTGTTTTATATTCAATTAACGTACGATCCGATTAGTCGACTAATCGAATAAATAATTGGTGATTAATCGATTATTGAAATAATCGTTTGTGGCAGCCCTACATCCAAGTACCACCCAGTTTCTTCAAAATCTAAAGAAACTCTAAAGCCTTGACAAAGACAAAACAACAGCGAAGTATCAGTCCTTGGGTGCAGCATCCAGGACTGTCTGGGAGCCTCTCAGTGACCCACTGCAAATAGCCGGCCCAAAGGAAAACAAGCTAATCACCTCTATTATCCACAAGATTTTAAAAAAATAATAATAACTCTTAAAATAATTGTTCATGGTGATGAGTCATCCTCAAGAACAAAGCCTGTTCCATCCTGAACAACAAAAGCATCTGCAAACAGTCTAGGGCTGCGGTGCTGAAATGATGCATTGCCTGATGCTGTTGCTGCAGTACAATGGATGTCACAGACTGTGGAGGCGAGCAACATGCAGATTCACATGTGTCTCTGAGGGCTTCCCAGCAGCAGGCATACGAATTCAGCTCAGACAAGCAAGGAAAGCTCAGTAATCCTGTAAACAAAGGAGGATGTATGGTTGATTACAGAGCCCAGCCCTCAGACTGCAGCAGAGATGCCCACCTGCCTCAGAGCCCAGCCGGCTGCAGGCTAAAATGGAGAACTGTGTGGGCTGGCTGAGGAAGCACCAACAAGCAGAGCATTTTATTTTACTCTCACAGCCGCTTCTGAAATAATAATATAAAAAAAGCTTATACTAAACGCCATTAGGTGCTATATTAGATTATAATAAGGCAAAGAAAAGGGGAGCAATACGACGAACAAGTATAGCCCTTCTGTGATTTGTCAATTCACAGATGCTGGTAAGGATAGACAATCAATTATTCATCTGCTTCAGCTCTGCTCATTGCATGATATGGAGGACTCGGAACAGAAACACAAACAGATCCCAGAAACCAGAGGTGAAAGGCAGGCTCGTACTTACATGAAGCAGGGAGAGGTCAGCACTGTAGAAAGATCCCCATTGTAAGTCTGCCTATCCCCCCACGGACACGGCGACAGAAAGGAAAGGGCAGGGTCTGTCTGAGAGACGACGGGGACAGTGAGGGAAGGACGAGCGAAAGCCGTTCGGGGGCGTGGCTTAAGTAAGGGGGCAGGGCTAAAACAACATGGAGGAGGGCAGGAAGTATGCAAAAGAAGTGACTGCTGTGGAGCTAACTGAGGGAGAGGTCTGTCTGGTGCAAAGAGGTTTGGCTTATTTAGTTTCCACCCTTTATCCTTAAAAGAAAAAAAATCGTTTGGTACATTAAAGCTGTAAATTAATGGTGTGACTTGTTTTGTTTGTAGGAAAAGGAGTGTCCTCCCAAATAAAGCGATCTACTAAATTTTCCTTTTCTCCACAAAAATACCTTCCTGATTTGTATTTTAAACCAGCAAATATACCATTTGCAAAGTATGAAATCAAACCTTAAAACAGAGGTGCCCAAAGTGGGGCCCCTGTTTCGTTTAGCTCACCAGTAGTTGTCCTGGTTGTTAGATTGTAATCTCCTGTCCTATGTAGAAACACTTCCACTTTTCAACCACTGGTTGAAGGTACAAGGAGCTGAAATCAGATAGTCTTAACTCATGGTACTCACTTTATCTTTGAATTATGTTGAAATTAAATATAAAATGTAAGTAACTACATGAGACATTTAGATTAGATTTAAGCACACATCTAGATTTGCACACCTTATACCACACTTATATCACATATATTCAAATTTTAATGTATGAAAAGTCCCATGAGCATTTGCAGACCAAGCGTATGTTGAATTTTCTCCATGTCCATGGGCTGGAAAAAAAAGAATGCAGGCAACTGCACTAATAGAAAAACTTTACTTAAGAAGTATTCACATTTCATGTATTATATTACTGCATTTGGCCCGTGGCCCTCAGATTGATTTTAATTTTGGCCCTCTCAAGGAAAATGTTGGGGCACCCCTGCCATGTACTTTAAAAAACAGTGCAGTTGGAAACGAATTACTTCAGTATTTTTCCAGATCGATGAGAAACTCTGAATGTGGGTCTACAGTGTAAACAAAACATTATCTGAAAATTTTACTCAACAAACCTCCCTGAGTATAATTATGTACGGATACATCACTTCTCAAACCCAAACATCTATTCTATGGACATCAATTTTTGTTGACCTGACTTTATTCTCTTCATTTGTTTCTGTAACTAAACTAATGCACTTGGCTGGACACAAATATTGCTTGTGATTTGTTTAAACCCTCTGTATTCATTAACACCTTCTCACTTGATGTGAAAAAAATGTAGATTTTTTTTTACCCATCCTAATGTAAATAACTATCCATCAATTAGTTTAACCTGGTTATTCCTTTCAGGTTAGGGTCACTGGTGCCCATATCCAGCAGTCACAGTTTGAGGGGTGGGGTAGGACAGGTCACAAGTCCATCACAGTGCCACACAAATGAGACATAAAACATTCACTCTGTCAAACCTAGGGCCAGTTTAGAGTTACCAACAAGCCTAACAATCATGTTTTTGATCTGTGGGAGGGAACCAGAGTACCTGGAGAAAACCCATATATGCATGGAGAGAACGTAGGGTTGAGCAAAATGGTTCAGTGTGCAAGTAATCGTCGGAAAAACTTTAATCGATTATTTTTTTGGCTCTTGACAATTAATACGATTAATACCATCAGGTATACTGACTGGAGATTTCCCCGGTCAGCCCACTGGATGCTCCTCTCCGCTTCGAATGACGAACATTTTAAAAAAGGTTATGTAATTTTTTAATCATAACTCTGGTTTTCCTTGGTCTATCAACACAATTTCAAAAAAAATGATGTAAAGCCTGAAGTCTGTACTTTCACAATTTGAAACAGATTTTTACGGAGAGTAAATCTTTCCCACTAGTGATTTAAATTGGTTACGTGACTATAGGGCATGGGACTCGAGGGGATTAACTGTCATATTAATTGTTATCAGCTAATAGTGGTATAGGACACCTAAAGTCAAAGCATGTTATGACTCTAGAGAGGTATGAAAAAGGATGATAGGTGTGCATAAAGTAGAAAAATCTGATTTTTATAAAGGCCTAAAATATGGAAATAGAATGCAATAGTTCCGGTTTGTATTTAAGGGTGTTTAAAATAATACTCTACATACCTAAATGAAGTTGAATAAGAGACACTGCACTGTGTGTAATATGAGCATTTTGTTTCTGTAACTGTTGTGATAATATGGGCAATGAGTTTGTTGGGGGTGCAGAGGGTAAACAGTCTTCTTTGGTTTTGATTCTGCAAGGCAGAGTTGCCATGGAGACTGCTTCCAGTTTCATCAAGGCTGCAGCAGTCTGGCAGCAGCAGTGAACAGAGCTCACATCCATATCACAAGCTTCACTAGCATGATTGGCATGTCCTGGATCCCTTAATGTTGTTAACAAATAAATAATCCAAGTTCTGAAATACTTAACTGTTTGGAATTTTGCAATAAATCTAATTTAGTTTGAATAAAGTCTGCTGCGTGACTCTGTTAATGACCCATTGATTGAATTTGAAAACAGATATAATGTAAAACTATTACGCAAAAAAACAAAATTATGTTTACAGATGGTTTGAACCTATAATGGTGAGGTTTTATGTTGAAACATGTATGTAAATATGCTGCATTTTTAAAATCACATTTGAATTCATTACAACAAATTTCATCATACCAACGAATTTCAACAATCACATTTTTTTATTTAAACAAAGGGGAGAACAAATAATTTGCTTCTTCACGGATCACTTTGTTTTTTTAAATGAGACTTAGTAACAGCACTGTTCAAACAGTTATTAAAAGCCCAAACAGAACCTCCTTTAAGCTCAAGTTGTTATTTCAAATGTCAGGTTCAGTATCCATTAATAATATATCATTAATTATCACTGATAACAAACACTGTAAAGTTTAAATAAGCATTTATGTTTTTGTTTACAACTATTTACAAACATTTAGTTGCAGAATAGATTTAGAACTCCTCAACAATCTTATTAGCTAAATTAATTTTTATTTATTGACAATTACATTAAAAAATGACAAAATGTAACTTACTTGACGTTGCCTTTTAAATTGCTGGAGTCTGAGTGTTAATGCATCTCACCCTTTTAAATATTACATCCCTAAAAAGTGCACTTCAACATTTTTTCATATTACCCTAAAAGGGGAGGAGCCAAAGTAATATTGATGAATTAATCAGTTTAATAACTGAAACTCGCATCAACAGTTTTGCCATGAATAAACTTTATGGACTGATGGCTTGACTGATTATGTTCTCCTAAAGGTGATATATTTAGCTGCTTATATTGTATCATATTGCCTTCATAGTTACGCCTGTAACAAGTTAGCTCAGGCTCAGCATTGTTCACTTTATCACAGACTCCCCATGGTTCAGTTGTGTTCAGATAGACACAGCCTTTGTAACACTGACCCATTTTAGATAAAGAAAAACAGCAATTTGACTGTAAAAGTGACCACAAGCCTCTGAGCGTCTGTTAATCAAGAGACAAGGAATCAGAAGAATTACAACGAAAATATATTATTAACAACTATAAATTAAAAAATAACAATTACAAAAAACAAACAATGATATATGCAAAAACATTTCAATACAGTTTCAGTTGGTTTTGTCTAAGCTAACATCTCTCTTCTATCATTAACCTCAGCACCCTCAACACTTCCTCTGTACATTCTTGAGAACTTTCAATTCCAACAAGGAACAACTAGAGTAAGTACTCGTTTATCCAATTTGGGATGACAATCTGAGGCAGGAAAACATTTTTGGGGGGGATAAAAAGTGTATAAGCAAATGTCTTAGAGTGAGTTTGCCCAACTTTCTTTTCATAATTAAAACATACAAATTGGCTACAAATACTTTCAACAACTTCTTTCAGCTGTTCTTTCTTCAGGGGTCACCACAAGTCATCTTCCTTTAGCTTACTCAGTCCTCTGTATCCTCTGTCCTCACTTTACTTATTTCCACATCCTCTCTAACTGCATCAATATATCTCCTTTTGACCTTCTTCTTTGTCTCTTTCCTGGCAGTTACATTCCTAACACCCTTCTATCAATATACCTACTGTCCCTCCTTCTGTACATGCACAAACCATTTCAATCTAGCCTCTGAGAGGTCAAAGCACTTTTCACAACTCAATCCTCCGTATCAACTTACTGTCCAATCTTGCCATCTAGTGGTACAACTTACAAAATACCATCTACTAATTAAACATTCTTCAGTTTCTTAAAATGGTCTCTTTCAAAATTAAAATAAAGGAAAACACTATACTGTCCTCATGCCTGTAATTATAGCTCATCAAGATTTTACCTGAATTTAGCTCATATTGGTGAATTAAATATTAACATTTTGAATTATACAAGCTTCAAAGTAAAACATTTTTGTCATCTTTTAAAACACGTCCTGTGCCTACACACTAGAATTGGTGCCTGTAGGAACAGTTTCCTTGCTGTTCTGCTGTTTTCCCATGTCTCCAATGCGTTTTAAAAAACTGAAAAAAAATCCAGGGTTCTCAGTCTTAAACCAATTACTCCTGGGAAGAACGTCTTCATGTTTTATGGGGTGGTGGCTTCCAGTGCTCTCCATTGATTTGTTCTTTGAGTTTAGCTCCTGGAACTCTTCATTTGGAGTGTGGACTGAAGGATCCTCTGCTGATGGAGAGTTCTTGTCCTGATCACTGGATTTCTTTAAGTTGTGGGGCAGATCAGTGAAATCAAAAACTGGGTTTGAGGGTGCATCTCCAGCATTCTGTTCTGGTTGGGATTCTTTGACCTGTTCCACAAGATTTGGGCTTTTAACTGTAGACTGAGTCTCCGGGTTATTCTGTTCCTTAATTTGAGGAGGTAGAGTGTGTCTGCGGCAGAGGTTTTGTTTTGAGGAAGACTGAGGACCGAGCAAAAGCTGAACCAAATCCTCATTGGTTGGGTCATCAGCATACCTTTGAGTTTCCTCATCGAAGGTAAGCTGACGAGGCAAGCTGGACTTCGCTGAAGGAGATTTCTGGTTTTCCAAAGAGAAGTCCACTGAAGAAGCACTATTTCGGCTGCTCTGATACTGCAAAACCTTTTTAGACACTTCACGCAGCTTTTGGGCCTCTTCAGCACTATTGTCTTGCATATCTTCCTCGTCATCCTCAGTGTTGGCGGAAATAGATTTAATTGTTGAGAGGGTTCTGCGGGTCATTTTGGCTGGACTTGCTACGTCCTGAGAGTTCTCTTTTTTGGAAGCCATTGTCTCTTCCTTATGGGTATTGTCACCTTCGGGTTTATTGTTTTCAGAGTGTAACTGAACTTTTTCTTGTGAAAAGTACTGTGTGAGTTCAGTTGCTGAGCTCCATCCTTTTTTGCACATCTCATTAGCTCTGAAAGTGTCTTTATAGTTTTGAATTCCAGTCGGAAGTTTTATCTCAGAACTGATTTCGGATAAGCTTCCGTTAGTAGGACAGTCACTCATTGGACTTTCTTGTACGGATGAAGGCGTGCCAGGTCTCCTTCGAGACATGCGATTGGTGAGCAAGTTCTGCAGTACAGATTCCAATGCAACATTATCCATTTCTTTGTCTCTACTTGAGCAGGTAGCAGTGGATCTGCGCTTGACTGCATTCTGTAATTTATCAATGCGTCTCCGTTTCACTTCTGCCATCTCTCTGGCCTTATTTTCCTACAACATAAAACCATATTAAGGAATAAAGTGTTTTGTGTTTCTTTGATTATGTCTGATAATAAGCATGTCAGCACATTGGCTTACCTGTATGGCCCGGAAAAACCTTTCGCAGAAAGAGTGAAAAATTGAGCAACACTCCTCTAGTCGAAAAGTTTGTGAGTCTTCACAGAAGTACTCAGCCACTGAGTCGCTGACTGACTGCAGTTCTTCCAGATCAGCCTTTATGTCGTCCAAGTACGTCTCAGCTTTCTAATGAAAACACAAAGCAAGATATTATTAACTGATACATTTGACTGAATTTGGTCTGAATTCCCTGTGGTGAAAACAACCATCACCTTCAGAAAGTCCTCCATCTGTGCCTTTAGATCTTCTTGTTTCAAGGTATTTGCTTTGGCATCTTGTATTTTCTTCACCTGTCTTTCAAACTCAGCTTCAATGTCACTTTTAGTTAATCTTAAAAAAAATACAAACATATATATTAATTAATTATTTAACTGTCAAGCAAAACAAAACAAAAAGCATTGTTTTCATTACCGTGCTGCAGCTTCAATGTGTCTGAGTTGTTCTGGAAACATCAGAAGAGTTACATCTGCCTTTTGAGCTTGCTGTGGGGGGAACATTGAAGTTTATGGTAGAATCACATTTTGTAAACATTGTTTAAGCTATAGAAGTGAAAGTATGAAAGATGACTTGCCATTACAACATAATGCATGAGATTCATTCCGGGTTTGTTTGCTTTGGTATCAGCTAGCTTCAGCAGAGAGGACATTCGGAAGCCAATTGCGCTGCCTGCATAGCCACCCTGTCAGTAAACAAATGCCTTCAGATCAGGAGTGCACAAACACAGGAGAAAGTAAACCTGCTGTTACTCCTGCATCACATATTAAACACTCACAGCGTTCATGTAGTTTCCAGTCTTCAACACCAAGCGAATGATAGAATGGAGATTGTCACACTCTAACAGCTCTAAAAAAAATATGGCGTTAACATCAAAACTCAATGGTTTAACAGCTCTATTTTAAAGTTTCATATATATATACTGTATGTATGTGTGTGTGTGTGTGTGTGTGTGTGTGTGTGTGTGTGTGTGTGTGTGTGTGTGTGTAGGTAAACCAACTGTACCTTTTCCAGCTGTAGTCAGAGCACCAATGAATTCCTTTATTTCATCCATGATAGGGAAAAATTCATCTTTCAGCACCAAGCAGCTCAGTCGCTCTTCATAACTAAGAAACATCAAGAAATCCACTATATTAGAAGATCCCCAATACCATCAAAATGTGTAAATGATAAAAGTACATTTAGGGCACTTACCTGGGAATCTTGACCAGCATTAACATAAAAAGATCTGCTTCAGGGAGAGCAGATGGGTCGCCTTTAAACCCAATCAGTTGCTTCAGCTACATTACGAGAGAGAGAGAGAGAAACTCACAAATCATATATCTGAATGACTTTTATTTATTGGTATAAAATAAAATGAATAATTTTTAATAGTTCTGAATGACACATACAAAGAATTTAGTTAAATACCTCCCCATCATCAGGCAACAACCTGCACAGCTCCTGTAATTTCCCAGTGCCAAAATTGAGACCATTCCCTGACTTAATGTCTTTAATCATGTCTTTTACAGGCCTGAGGATGAAGGTGGAGACATAGGAGGAATTCAGTTCAGGAGTCATCATTAATCACAATGTTTTCGGTATTTGTTTAAGGCTGGAACATCGTATGAGTTGTAAGTCCATGTTAAAACCGTCCTTTTGTTTGCTTGGAATACTTGGACAGTTGACATCAACAAGCCTCTGCCTGTTTAAATAGCTGAGCAAAATCTCAACAATTTTAATTATTAACTGCTTTTGGGAATATAAAAAAAATACTGAATTAATATTTGACAAAAAAAATAAATAAATAAATAAATAAACGTTTTACACTTTTGTAGCTCAGGAAGTGACCAAACAAGTTATTTTTTTATGTGATCGGTTTGGTCTGTTTGAGTTGCTGTAAAGAATTCTGTCAGTTTGACCACACGTGTTTTAAACAAACAATTACATGTTTTCATTTCCCGTTAGATCTGTGGTGTTTGCCAAAGAACCTCAGACAAACATTTCTAAAACTTTTCAGTTGCTGATATTATCTGTACAGAACGCCAGAGGGAAGTCCCAGTGTACATCAAACCTGTCTGGTCTTGTTGTTTTCGTCAGTGATGCAGCCATGTTGCATACAAATTCATCTGCCTCATCTTGTGCGGTTTTACACTGTAACCCAAAGAAATGATTGAGCAAAGAGGTTACAGCCTAAAAGTTGTACCACTGACTCACCGCTTGAACTGCTTTAGGAATATTCCAATATTCATGCTCCTCTTGGCACTGAGGATGGAAACCTGGAAGATGGAAGTCACAGATAAATAAGCAAGACATTTGGGATAGTTAACTATTGGCTTGAGAAACATCTCTTCTGTCAAAAACACCTCAGATTTCCAAAAAGACGATCGATTCCAAAGGTTGAATTTTTTTTTAGCTGACTATATCGAACCATCTGGGGAGAGATAGCCTAATATTTTGTATCAGCAATAAGTTTTGACTTATTCCACGAAGCAAAACGAGGCCAAGTAAAGTGTAGGACTATATTGTACCCGTTCATGTTGAGAAAACGAGATGTATAATTTTTTGACTTAAACACCGTTCACAACACACAATGGTGACACTTGAGAGCACCAGTACTATACAGTCCACTATTCTGAGGACACAACTATTCCTTCCTTTGGTAAACAGGTATGAAAGAAAGTTGTGACTCCACCCATGTTTTGAGTTATCTTACATCCTATGTTCTACAGTCATATGCCTGTTCATTACAGTTTTAGAAAACAATGTTTAAAACATTTATTAAACTTAACTTTCAAAAACTGTTGATAAATACTTAGCTCCCACAATCAATTTTATTCCCAAAACAGAAGTTATATGTTGTTGTTTATGTAATGCCAGCAATAGGTTAATGCTTGTAGCAGCAGGAGTTGTACATTTACAGAGGAAGTGCGGGGTGTTCAGATATTTATCTCAAAAATCGACTCGCGTCAAACAAACTAATTTTTATATCTCAGAACTTCACAGTTAATGGAAGTTCTTAGGTTTAGAGTTTAAATGTGAATTTTTGACAAAGTTTCTCACCATTTCCGCTCCATGACCTGAAGGCAGAGGCCCCCTGAGACTCTGGCGGCTCTGGCCTTTTGGATGCTGCTGGCCATGGTTGTGGCTGAACAACTCCTCTATGTGGTCAGTGTCCAGCTCATATTCCCCATCGGTCTTGTCTGCGGTCCAGATGTTGTGCTTTCCTATCACACTGTGTTTGGGAAGGGTCTCCCAGTTAAAGTTGCGCATCCTGGACTGCCGGCGGCCAATGATACCTAGTCCATGATGGGATAGGGGGAGTCCAGGGGCTGGAGGTGGTGGTGGAGGTGGAAGAAGAGGTGGTGGTGGTGGAGGAGGTGGAGGAACCGGAGAACTTCCTGGCTGCATCTTTTATTGGTGGGGGAGGTGGGGGGTGGTCTCAGAAGTTTTGAGAAGTATTTAGACTTCTATAAATAAAGACAGGAATTTAGCTTTTAGTAAATAAATCCCAAAGATATTAGCCAATATATTTTTTCTACTAAACACAAGAATGTCAAGCGGGTGTTGCTGGATAGATTATTTAAAACGCTCTCAGCTCACTAAATTCTTCAGAGCCACAATCACAGGTCACTTTCTTATCTACAAGTTGTTACTTGTGGCAAACAAATACCGAAGGTCGGACATGTGATCATGCTTTTAACAGAATTATTTGTCTCGTGTTTAAACAAACAAGAGGAAGAACAAGAAACTTATATGACCTTAATGAAGTTTTCACACTATTGGAGTTTTCACACATACACACACACACACACACACGTTAACTGATCATTTAACACAGCAAACAGCTAAAACAATGTAATTATAAAATGATCAAAAACAGATTAACAAAAAACAACTTACATGTGATTTAGAGTAAGCAGCAGCTCCATTCTCTTTCCTTATGACTCTTGTTGAAACTTCAGGAAAACAGAGTTACGTCAACCTGGATAAAGCAAGGAAAGAGTGTCGAAATTACCTGTGGGTTTGTCGACACGCCCAGGTAAGTCATCTATTCCCATGGTAGTCCACACCTTCCCAGCACCAGCAAGTCAGGCATTTGTTCCCAACTTCTCTGGCCTGTTGGCTGGAGTTTGTGAGGACACAGCTGTCTCCTCTGCCCAGCTGTTTCTGCTCATGTGTCAGCAGACAGACTGATAGATGTCCTCCTATCTCTGTTCTCCTATTGATTTCCTGAACTTTTAAACGTCCACTCACAGCTGATCTAAAACAAGGCTGCTTAAAGATTTTTTTTAAATCGAATCCCATTTGAAAGGTGAATGCAGAAGATCTGCCTTATTATAGAAAACGTGAACACACATTTTATTTAGAATGAGTTTTAAGTATTGTGTTTGTAGAGACAAATTTTAAGAGTCCTGAAGAGGGTAGAATAATAATGTTCACAACAGTTACAAGGTTGTGGGAATTAGGGGTTCTGAAGGTGTTGCAGCGTCCCCTAATGAACACACGAGGACATGCATGTAAATAGTTAATGAAACATAAGGTAATAAATATATAAATGTTGTTTTTGTTTTAACTGCTTCTTTCTGCAGGGGTCGCCACAGTGAACAAACTCACATGAAAGATTTGGCAATTATTTTAGACAAGTTTGGGTCCATGGTGGCCTCAGATTCTGCCTCCTGTCCAAACTCTAGTTATATTTTTCCATGTTCAAAACTCACTGCAAAGTAGGCAGAGCATGACTGCAATTTGATAGATAGTGTCTATCCAAAATATAACATTGTTAATGCCCATTGGATAAGACAAACACACACACCACCGTTGTGAATTTCAATGCATATATTTAGTATTATGCTATTTTGTCAATGTGTGTTTAAATTCTGACATCTTAACAACATCCTCCAACTGATACAGGAGTACAATAAGTAACCACTGCCAGAGAACAGGAACCAGTTATAAATTTTATCTGTGAACAAAGGGTTCATTTGCATGGTCTTCCCACCGGGTAGTATTTTTCAAATTTGGGTGTTGTGGATATAAGAATCTCCACAAAAAAAGTAGTGACAAACATAAATCTTAATTAAAAAAATGAAACAATACCATAAGAATTATAGAAATAGTAAACAGCATTAAAGTGCTTAAATCCACTTTGGTGCAGCAAATAGATTGATCACAATAGATTAAAAGCATTATTTAGTCATTATAAAGAAATAATAAGTAAAACTACATTTATTATTTCTTTACCATTATTTTACCAGGCAAGTCCCGTTGAGAGCTCAGATCTCTTTTTCAAGGGAGGCCTGGGCCTGAAGGCAATCTACTGTACATGTTTTTAGGAGTGGGGGAAACCAGAGTACCCGGAGAAAACCCACGCAAGCACGAGGAGAACATGCAAACTCCACACAAAGACCCCAGGTCCGAACCGGGGATTGAACCCATGAGGACCTTCTTGCTGTGGAGCGTCTGTGCTAACCACTGAGCCAGTATATATACATATTTTGCATTATCACACAGATAAATAATCTCTTACATGCTCTCACTAACATCACGAGACTTACATACCCGAGTCACACAGTTCAGTGGAATGTAATGACAAGCACTTTATTGCAAATGCAGGACAAAAAAACTCAATCAGCTGACTACAGCCTCAAAGAAATCTTTTTATGTTACAAACAGGAGGATAAATAACACAAAACACAAAAGGAGTACTTTGTACATTCAGTGTTGAAAGGGACACTGACATTTGTATTATAATCTAAAGTGCATGGGGCGTTACTTGTATGCTGTAATTTGGGTTTTACAATTTGAGACTCCAAGAATAAGCCTCGCAGGTTCCACACCGACACCTTCTAAAGTACCACAGTCAATAATAAACTAAGTCTGAACCACATTTTAATTTTGTACAATAACCGAGATCTTTGTATTTAGCATTTAAGCATCAGACATATGCTAATGCTAATTACTGCAAAACATACTGTACAAGTGACATTTATTTCAGAACCATTTTTGTGCATGAACTCAGAAGTTAGAAAAAAAGACATAGTTCTGGATTTGTATTAATATACTGTATCTTAAGCAGCCAAAATTTAGAGGACCAAATACTTGGTGATTGTATATCAGGTTAAAGAAAATAACATATTCCCCATATATTTTTTTCTGTAAACATTAAAATGACTAATCAGGCAGGTATTTCACAATATCACAGAGGGGGCTAATTTTGAACAGTCTGATACTTTTAACCTAAAATCAGTAAAATGTGAGGAAAATGGTTCAGGAATTAAATACATATTTAATAACATCTCAAAACATGAGCAGTATCCCAATAATTTACATTTCCAACCTGTAAAGTCACTCCCATTTGTCCGACACTGGCATACTGTATATACTGTAGCTTTAGGCAACATACAAAAGAAATGTGCAAAACAGCCAAAGAGAACCTCCACATTAAACTACAATCTTGTACGTAAATGGGTGATATACATGTAAATGATTGTACAGTACTAATAAGAAGAATTACAATTAAAAAAGTAATTTAACAAAAAATCCTTTCATCTATGTAATTAACGTTGCTGAAATCAACATTAAAAAAAAGAACTTTCTCTGCCTTCTACTGATCTGATCCTACAATAAAATTCTTTAAACATTTCCTTCTTGACCCTCTAACCACAATGTTATATTTTTAACGGATAAGTTTGTCACTGTACATGTCAAGTAGCTGAACCCAGGTGCTCATTATTGCTCCTCCAGCCAGGACGGTTTGTCTGATCCAGGAGGCTTTAACTTTACATTGAACTGTATTAGAGTTTGTTCCAACTGCTGCTGGTTGCCAGCAAAGTAAGCCGAGATAGCATTATGGAAGAGAAGCAGCTGCTTGTGCATCACTTTTACCTAGAAAAAAAAAAAGAAAAAAAAAGAAAATAAAACATGTCAATATTACAAATACAATAAATTATAAAGGAACAGTTAGGCCTTTTATTGCTTTATGGGTAAGCAAAACATAAATAAAAAATTATGTACAAAAATAA